CTCTCGCCATGGCACAAACATTACTGAAACAAAGCTTGTTATTTTTGAGCTTTGCCTAATTTGCACATCAGGAATCTGGAATGCAAATTTGCTTAGAGAAAATGTGCATTATATATGCGTATGGATGATACGCATAATTATTCACATTTTTTATACGTTTTCTGATCATGAAACCTGGGCATTGTTTGAATTCATGAGATATGTTGTAAGCCACGCAGGTTTGTTAAGTTCTTTATTTCGGTCTAACGTTTCGGCAAAAATGCCTTCCTCAGAGACCTGAAAGAAAGCCTCGCAGTTGTTTTTCACTCTGTACTGTCAAATCTCTCTTCTCAACTAGCTCAGTTCGATGCCCTAGGAGCAAACACGCTGAGACAATACACTGTAAGTAGCGTAACAAGATCTCCACCAATCAGGCAACAACAGATGTTTTAGATCCACTGGTGGTAATAGACTAGAACTGACCGATATGGACAGCTTAAGTAGTAGTGGATACGTTATCTATAAGTGACAATATGATAGAAATGGCATCAAGTCACTTGTGATGGAGAGCTGCTCATTCCTTCCGTTTAGCTTAGGTTCGCGCGAAAGAATGTATGCCGCTTCAAGCGCTTTGCGAGCAGCAATTTTCGACTCGTGACCTAGGATGATGCACTTGATACCGAAGTCATTGCCGTGATGACCTACCTTTCTGTGTTTCTCTAGCGGACTTGACATGCTTTCCTGTCTTTTACTAGACAAGTGTTCATTAATTCGCACGCTGAGCTGACGACCAGTTTCCCCTATGTAGGTGGCGTGGCATTCTAGACATTCAATTTCGTAGATAATGCCAAACTTGGTACAGTCTCCCATCCTTCCGTAAGGACAAATGACGCAATCCCTCGTAATACAGGCTATATCGTATAAACGATTACGCACTAGCTGTCGCTTGATGTCGCTTCGGGGGATGCTTACGAGAACAACATCTTGCTCCAACTGAGCTTGCTTATGCAATTCTGGAAAGCGTGCTTTACCTTATCGGAGATAAATGGTAAACATAATGGGATTCTGGTACGAGCTTGGCTATCATCATTATTTGCGGTGTTTTTAAAATGTCTAGACCTTGATGAGAAGTAGCCATTGGAAGCTGCTATCTCATTTGCCAATTCGAGGGATTCTTGTCGTTCACTCTCCCCACTGCAGACTTCTCTTGCCGTTTTATACATGTTCCGCAGCACTGCTCGTTTTACGGCCATCGGATGGGCTGATTTCGCGTGTAAGATGATATTCTTGGAGCTCTCTTTGCGATACCATTTTACTCGCATCGTACCGTTACTTAACATTAGCTGGGTGTTCAAATACGGAAGCCAACCGTTTCGGGGAGCTTCTCTAGTAAAACTTATGTACTTTGATTGTTGATTTAAAATCTTGGAACACTCGTCCATTTCGGACTGTGTTGATGTTATAATGCAACAATCATCAATATATCGGCAGTACATAAGTGGGCATCGTAATAGCACCGGTCTTTCTATTCTGCTCATGAAGCAGATGGCTAGCGTAGGTGCTAATCTTTGGCCCATTGCCAACCCTCCTAACTGTGAGTAGTATGTACCAGACCCCTTGAAGATATTACAATTAAGACATTCCTTGATTAGAGTCATTATACGCGCTTTACCGAGCCCATACATTGAAATGGTATAACCATGTGCATCAAACAGCTCAGAAAGCGCTTGTAAAGCGTCACCGTTAGACAAGTTCGTGTAGAGTGACGTTACATCGAATAACTCTATTGCACAGCTCTGGTCGAATTGAGCATGGTGCAGTCGATCAAGAAAATGTCTGGTATTCGTCAAATGGGCCGGTATTTTGTAGAGAAACGCAATTTTACTTAAGAACCATGATATCCTATCGGTTGGTCCATTTATACAGGTAATGATCGGTCGAATCTTGTAGACCGCGGCCGACACGGAGCTCATGTCACGCTCAGAGATTATGCGTCTTCACAAGACTGTAAAATACAGGACAGCATGGATTGTCAAGTTTAAGTCTACTGAGAAACTTTTCATTGAGGCCAGCTTCTTTACCAAGCATCATCCATACGTGATTTAAGCGCTTGCACTGAGAAAGAAATTCTTTCTCACTCGTGCGGCGATAAATGGTCTCGTCTGAGAGATGGCGCTCGGTAATCTCACGGTCCAGTTGTTGAGACATAACAACGAACTCTCCACCTTTATCGCTAGTAGAGAGGCGGATGATCCCTCTTCCAATCAATCCTCGCAATTCTCTGAATCCAAGCCACTGCGCATGGGTCAAATTGGTTTGTTTGATGTTCTTGTTTTTGTTCAAGACATTAAGTATGCCTGAACAAAGAATCCGAAATTTGACGTCTGCGGTGTAGCAAGGTTCAGATTCTTTGTAAAAGGATGACGGGAAAGGAACAGGCGGTAGCAACCTTCTACTTAACACGTTGGCTCGCTGTAACTGCTCTTCAGATCTTAACTTCACCCGAAGCTGATCCCTCAGATGTTGCAGGGATCCAACAACATCTCGGTATGTGCTCGCGCTAATGTTTTGAGCGGGCGCAAAGTTAGGTCCAAGAGCTAAAAGCTCTGTAGCGCTTTTTGATATCCGAACATCTCCTAACACAGTAACTCTAGCCATTCTATCATTGTTAGTTTCATTCTGAGTCGCAAGCGATTGGGATCGATTATGAGGTATGCCACCGCAACTATTAAGACTCAGACTAGGTTTACTCACAAGTTCCTCGAACTTCTTGCATAGTGAAGATTTGAGGTTAGACCGTACAGTAGCGCAAACACGCTTTGACTCGCTCTCAATTCTCCTCCAGCTGTTTTCAGACATAAGACGTCGGCATGCTTCTTCTTTTGCTCTACACTTGAGTAGAGAGGAGTATAAGACGTATTGCTTTTGCTTGATTGCAATAGCAAGGATGTGCGAATACAGCTTCTGTACGATGGGGTGACTTTCTGGTAAGCTGCAGGTTACTCCTAACTTCTTCTTCGCGATAAAATTGGGTAGCACTCCAGGCGTCTTGCATCGTTTGAGAAATATGAGAGATTGACGTGCGACGGCTATCTTTTGTCGGAGCGCCAAAGCTCCGCTTACAAGTGAGAACAGATTTGGCGGTACTTCTTGTAATATTTTATACGTTCTCTGATCATGAAACCTGGGCATTGTTTGAATTCATGAGATATGTTGTAAGCCACGCAGGTTTGTTGACTTCTTTATTTCGGTCTAACGTTTCGGCAAAAATGCCTTCCTCAGAGACCTGAAAGAAAGCCTCGCAGTTGTTTTTCACTCTGTACTGTCAAATCTCTCTTCTCAACTAGCTCAGTTCGATGCCCTAGGAGCAAACACGCTGAGACAATAGTAAGTAGCGTACCAAGATCTCTACCAATCAGGCAACAACAGATGTTTTAGATCCACTGGTGGTAATAGACTAGAACTGACCGATATACCATTTCGATGTATGGGCTCAGTAAAGCGCGTATAATGACTCTAATCAAGGAATGTCTTAATTGTAATATCTTCAAGTGGTCTGGTATATACTACTCACAGTTAAGAGGGTTGGCAATGGGCCAAAGATTAGCACCTACGCTAGCCATCTGCTTCATGAGCAGAATAGAAAGCCGGTGCTACTACGATGCCCACTTATGTACTGCCGATACATTGATGATTGTTGCATTATAACATCAACACAGTCCGAAATGGACGAGTGTTTCAAGATTTTAAATCAACAATTAAAGTACATAAGTTTTACTAGAGAAGCTCCCCGAAACGGTTGGCTTCCGTATTTGAACACCCAGCTAATGTTAAGTAACGGTACGATGCGAGTAAAATGGTATCGCAAAGAGAGCTCCAAGAATATCATCTTACACGCGAAATCAGCCCATCCGATGGCCGTAAAACGAGCAGTGCTGCGGAGCATGTATAAAACGGCAAGAGAAGTCTGCAGTGGGGAGAGTGAACGACAAGAATCCCTCGAACTGGCAAATGAGATAGCAGCTTCCAATGGCTACTTCTCATCAAGGTCTAGACATTTCAAAAACACCGCAAATAATGGTGATAGCCAAGCTCGTACCAGAATCCCATTATGTTTACCATTTATCTCCGATAAGGTAAAGCACGCTTTCCAGAATTGCATAAGCAAGCTCAGTTGGAGCAAGATGTTGTTCTCGTAAGCATCCCCCGAAGCAACATCAAGCGACAGCTAGTGCGTAATCGTTTATACGATACAGCCTGTATTACGAGGGATTGCGTCATTTGTCCTTACGGAAGGATGGGAGACTGTACCAAGTTTGGCATTATCTACGAAATTGAATGTCTAGAATGCCACGCCACCTACATAGGGGAAACTGGTCGTCAGCTCAGCGTGCGAATTAATGAACACTTGTCTAGTAAAATACGGGAAAGCATGTCAAGTCCGCTAGGGAAACACAGAAAGGTAGATCATCACAGCAATGACTTCGGTATCAAGTGCATCATCCTAGGTCACGAGTCGAAAATTGCTGCTCGCAAAGCGCTTGAAGCGGCATACATTCTTTCGCGCGAACCTAAGCTAAACGGAAAGAATGAGCAGCTCTCCATCACAAGTGACTTGATGCCATTTCTATCATATTGTCACTTATAGATAACGTATCCACTACTACTTAAGGTGTCCATATCGGTCAGTTCTAGTCTATTACCACCAGTGGATCTAAAGCATCTGTTGTTGCCTGATTGGTGGAGATCTTGTTACGCTACTTACAATGTATTGTCTCAGCGTGTTTGCTCCTAGGGCATCGAACTGAGCTAGTTGAGAAGAGAAATTTGACAGTACAGAGTGAAAAACAACTGCGAGGCTTTCTTTCAGGTCTCTGAGGAAGGCATTTTTGCCGAAACGTTAGGCAGAAATAAAGAACTTGACAAACCTGCGTGGCTTACAACATATCTCATGTATTCACATTTTTTTCTATAAAACACGAGAGCAGTGAATTCCATACAACATGATGATATAGGATTTTCAAGCATTTATTGTGAACAGTGTGCGCATTAAACTCTGGAAAGAACATTCAGATATATCATGTGAGCAAATTTCTAGAAGTATAACAGTAAAAGTAAAAACACCGGAATGATGCGAACAAAAAGAAAAAACAATATCATCTAGTGAAGCATTATCACATGATGTATGTAATGAGCACAACTAAAGTATTCTTCACAACAGGGAAAGCATTATAACGACTTGGCATGTTATTTCTTGCAACGGATAGAAATTTCTATAGGCTAATTTCATAAAAAACATCGGCATCCCAACAATTAAAGCAGCTTCTTCACAAGGCCTTCAAGTGTTTTTGCATCTTTAGCAAAGTTGCGGATTCCTTCAGCTAGTTTCTCTGATCCCATGGCGTCCTCATTCAGTGCCCATCGGAATGTTTTCTCATCGATGCTGATACGTGGAATATCCTTTGATGCGGCTATAATGATCGTTTTTCAGCACAACAATATCGATCAGTGAGAGGCCATCGTAGCTAAGAAAGCCTTGGTTGCAAAAACAGGATCAAAATCGATAGTGGTGCAGAAATAAAAATTTGGTGAGTGCACTGTGTAATAGTCCGATTCGGGCTATTTAAGGAAGAAGACTGAGAATCATGCCAAAAAAAGCATACGCTAGGCATAAAAAGAAAACTTGAACTGAGCTTGTAGAGTAACAATTTGTTAAAGACAGAGATATAAACAATCAAAGCCAAATAAAGACGTACAAGCTTTTATAGAAAATAATCAACTAACCATCAGAGCTCTTAAGAGCTACTTCAACATTTTCTTTATCTTCGGCGAGTTCTTTAAGAAGCTTGGGACTGCAAAAAACTCATTTACTCACTGCATAGCTATGATACTTTGAAAATCTGAAGTACGCACCTGATGGTAAGTAAATCGCATCCCATCAATCCCTTGATCTCTTCAGTATTACGGAAAGAAGCACCCATAACTTGCGTTTTGTATCCATATTTCTTGTAATAATTATAAATCCGTGTAACACTCTGTAGAAAAGTTGGTCAGAATTTATCGGAGTAAAAAACGAAAAAAAAATCCAACCTCTACTCCTGGGTCATCTTTACGAGTATACGTCTTCTTATCGGTATTCTTCTTATACCAGTCCAAGATCCTTCCAACAAAAGGTGAGATCAAGGTCACTTTCGCCTCTGCGCACGCTACAGCTTGTTCGAAGTTAAAAAGCAAAGTCATATTACAATGAATCCCATGTTTTGATTCCAAGACTCTGGAATGCAAGTTTAATAACGTTCAAAGAAGAAAACGGAAGTAATTTTGCATACTTTGCAGCTTGGATGCCCTCCCATGTGGATGCCAGTTTTATCAAAACACGTTCTTTTGAAACTCCAAGTTTCTCATATTGTTCAATCAGCGACAGTGATTTCGCGATGGATGCTTCAGTGTCGAATGATAACCTAAATAAGTAGAGATAAATATAAAGGGGAGCTCAAGAAAGCAAGCATTCATAACTGAACTTTGATCACATTTCATTCTGCAAAGTGCAGACACTAGACTACCAAAGAATTTTGATTATGCGACCTTAGCCATGCGCAAATGAGGTAGATGAGAAACCTCCTAACCCTTCAAAAGTAACCACATATGAGCCCACAGATGAGAGAAGTAGGGTTCACAAGCCATTTGTAGTTCGAATACCGTAACCATTCTAAACCGCAACAATGCAACAATTACACTTTTTAGGCACGCGCGCTGCTGAAAACCAAAGAAAAAACGTAAAGGGGAAGCCGTCAAAGAATGTGCGCTGTCGCCGGGCACTTCCAATGCTCTTTTCAAATCTGCTTTGCATATCAAAGGGATCATCCAAATCGTAATGTTCTACACAAATACACAGTGATATACCAAAAAAAAAAGGATTTGAAAGTAAACAAACTAGTTTGTCCACATCATTATACTTTTAAAGAGGTTATTACAGAACTGGTTTTACAAGTTAATCGTTCACCAGCGTTGAAATAGAAATCTGTCAGCATAAACCACCAAAGTACGAGAAAAAAAAATATATTTCAAAATTCAGAACAGTCTTTTGTTATCGAATTACACTGAAACTCACCTCGCATCAACTTCTGTTGAGACGCGTCCGGGAATAATTTTCAGGATTTCCTTACCAAAAATGACAAATAACCGGTCCATGGCTAGCTCAAGTATCTTAAACGAATGAACCTCATGAAATAAGGAATCATCAGAATAACACATTGACAAAGAACCTGCTCTTGCGTTTTTCCTGCTCCTTGTTCCTTCGCATACTTTACTGCTTCTTGGATTAGAGGTGCGTATGCGTCCATTTTTGAGGCTGCCAAAATCAGAGATGGATTAGTCGTAGCATCGGTTGGCATGAATTCTTTGATACCTGTAACTAACCAATTTAGTATGGTTACTTCGAAAAAAAATTGAACTACAAAATGCACAGAACGGACAAAACTAAAAGTGGACAGTACTAACTGTTGAAATCTCCAGTGTCAGCCACGACCGTGGTTACTTTCTTGAGTTGTTCTAGAACTGACATCCTGGAAATGTATGTTAGAGCTTGCTCAATTGGAGCACATACCATGCGTATAAAGACTCGAACAATATCCATACATGCACGAATTTTGATTTGGGATCGTAGCATGATAGTATAGAAAAATCACACATTTTATCTTATTGTTAGAGGGGCAAACAAGTAAGTGAAATTCAGAGTTGAACTTTTCAAGACCCAAAATGATGGAGGATGACTGGCTAATTCAATTAGCAAACACTACCCGCACAGTTCTGTCAATAAAAAATCACGAGGGGCAGAAGTAAATGCAACTGCGAGGTTGAGAAGTAAGATTCAGATACAGCAAAAAAAAAGGTCAGCCGCTTTTCTTCAAAAACAAACAATTTTAGAGGCTCTAAAGAGAAAAGCAGTTACTGATGAAACACTAACGCCTCGGCAGAGTTCACCGATTTCATGGCCACAATTCTTTCAAAACAGTTACGAGTCTATTGCATGCCGATCATCTTGCATCGCGGCTGTGATATTCTCCAAAACGAGCGATCGTGACTAACCATCGCAACCGAAATGCAAGATGATCGGTATGCAATGGACTCGTAACTGTTTGCCTTGGAAGAATCGCGGCGAAAATCTTGCATCTTGCATCGCGGCTGTGATATTCTCCAAAACGAGCGATCGTGACTAACCATCGCAACCGAAATGCAAGATGATCGGTATGCAATGGACTCGTAACTGTTTGCCTTGGAAGAATCGCGGCGAAAATCGCGTGAACTCTGCCCGAGCCCCAAGATTAAAATACCGCTGGATCCCTATGATTCTGTTCAAAGAACTTTCCCTGCTCATTTGCAGTACAAATAACATTGAAAAATGGTATAATGTTGAGGTTTGCAACCTACAAAAACGATATCATATATGTCAAGGTCAAGCGTATCTTCGCGCAATTTGTTCATGAGAGATAACGCGAGACTCAAGAAGTCTACCGAAATCGTGTATTAACATACAATGTATTGAGAAACAACAAAATGTAGCAAAGGGAAGTGAGAGAATATCACCAAGAACGCAATAAAACACCCACTTTCTACCTGCCAAAAGTTTCTATCCCGTAAAACTTGGAATATGAGGGATTCTCGTATGATCTGAGATAAAATGCTGTTATCAAATCCTTCCTTAGGGACCCGTCGTATTCGCCGGGAAAGCCCAAACGCCCAAGAAAGCCCGAAAAAGCTGGAAAAAGCCCGAAAGAGCCGGAATGCGGAATCGAACTTTTGATAGAATTCTGACATTATTTTGATGCAGACGAGAGAAAATGAAGCAAAAAGACTCGGTTGGGAAATCAACACACATGCCTTAGCGTCAAAACATTTCGGCTTTTTCGGGCTTCTTTGGCTCTTCAGGGCTTTTTCCGGCGTAGTATGATGGGTCCCTTATAGACCCTTCAAAAATGACGAAAGGACAGACCACTAGATGAAGGCATAAATATAAACAGCAACGTAAATTAGTCTGAAATAATGGCGCCAATAGAAAAAGAATCAGAAAGCTTCGTCTTAATCATATTCTAAAAGGTTTGGTCCACACAATTTCAGAAAATAGAGCCATGCAAGTTTGAAGTATTAGGACATTCTTGAAGTGTAATACTTTCATTACAAAAGAATAACACTATTCAAGGCGGCACTGGAAGCAAATAAGCAAAGCTATCGCTAACCTTACGAAACGGCTGAAGGTTGCTAAATAAAGAAAATTCTGTTCACTGACCTCTACAAGTCAGTACAATCGAGAGAATAAGATCAGCATGGCATGTTCGAACCACGCCATGTGCATGTCGAAATGCATCGGTGATAAGAAAGTGGAACGAGATGGAAACGACGAGAAAAACTAGCGACCAGTGAAAAAGTGCGAAATACTCTTTGATGATGCTGCTGCTTCGCAGTCCATGCGGTGTTTGTCCATTTGCCCAGAAAACAGAAGATGCACTATGAACATCAAGGTGATGTCATTTCGATGATTTTTGATCCACCAAATGGTGAAATTTATCGGACTTTGTACCAGTCTTAGGAGGAATTCTGTCAGAAGACGGTGAAGGAAAACTAGTTATGAAAAAATTGTAACACACTTCTAGGATTTCGTGTCACTTTGCTGAACTTCGACGAAATTTATAGTGCCGCCAAATCTCGCCACCTGGTGCAACTACACGCTTTTGAAATCCGGAAATCATAACGCCTTACGCTGAATCCAACAAAATCATTTGGAAAAGAGCTATCTACAAATGATCTCATCACAGGCAAACCAAAATTTTGAATACATCACTTTTGTCTCAAAACTGTCTCCGCTTAATTGAAAGTATAACCACCAAACAATATAATGAGTAATGAATGAAAAGAATGGAGCACATCTGCGTAAGGTAGGTGCCAGAGTAAGCGAATATTTTGTTCAGGTTGGACAAAATATTCGCTTACTCTGGCACCTACCTAAGGCGGCGTTCATACTGATCCCGTAGTCCGAGAACAGTTCCAGCACAACGCTCAATTCGAGCACTGTGCCGAGACTGTTTCCTGACTTCGGGATCAGTTTGAACGCAGCCTAACATTCAAGGACCCCCAAAGAGCGCCGCTATCGCGGCTGGACCCGTGGAGGCGGTAATAACCTTACATTCATCACAATTTTTACGATTAGTTGTAGACAAATGTTCTTCTCACTTTTGTGTAGGTGTAGGTTGGTTTCCAATATAAACTAAACGGTTATAGCAGAAAAATTTTCCTTGAGGGTTGTTGAAAATTCGCGAGTGATTTGCAATGCGGAATACCGGCATTTGTATGGGATACAAATCATTAATAGCTTGCAGGACCATGGAACACTTCGTGAAATACATCGAAAGCTACGATGAAATAGAATATTTTGAAGAAATCGAGTGGAGGTGCGAAACTGCAACATACTGCTCATATAGGGAGCTTGGTACAGAATATCACAATGAAATTGCTCCATCAAGCACGTGAAGTTCATCGTGGACTAGATTTCATAATTGGTCCATCTGCGAAGGTTTATTCCGTGAAAAACACTCTAATCAGACATCTGAAAAAAAAGGGCGCTGGAAGCAATCACATTCGGCAGATACTTCCTAGTAGCCGAAAAAAACAACACTCTGAAAGTTCGGTCACTAACAATCGGCTTCACTGTGTTGGATGAATACTTGTTTACACCTTGTAAGGTGCTTCCATTTCCGAGCGTCATAGTTTTGATCGAGTAGGTGTTGCAATGGAGCTCTATCTTCAGCATATAGCCTTGGATTCAACTGAATTGGCGGCTGGAAGGCGGGGCTTCGTGACCTAATTAAGGGCAGAGAATGATCAGAGAGCACGCGCGCGAGAGATACCGTTCGCGCCCGCAGACTGCGTAGCGGGCGCGAACGGTCCCTTTCAGCCGCCAGTCTCGTTGAATCAAAGGGTATGATCTGCTCCCAGATTCATGTGGAGGTGGGTTGCGGAATTTCCCTGATTACAAGGATGAAGTTAATGAGAGAGTACTGAAAACAGTGCTGTCACGTGGAGGTTTAGCAAACTTATCCTTATAAACAAGAAAAGACCGCAACCCGTCTCCACACGAATTTGGGAGACTATGATATGTTCATTGACAACGTTTCACTTTCAAAGTATAATTTTCGTAATTTCTAGAACAAGATCTAATGGAGATTTTATAAAGATCTAAGCATCGTCAATGAATATGTTGGATATTACGAGCTACTTTGCAACACTTAAACTTTGATTCAACTGGCTTGGCACCATTAGAGCGGGGTTTTGTGAGCAATTGAGGCCGCTCGCGCCCGCGACGCACCTGCTCTCTCTCGCGCGAGTGCTCTCTGATCATTGCCTAGCCTTAATTAGGTCACGAAGCCCCGCTTTTGCCGATGCCAAGCCAGTTGAATCAAATGGTACTTGTTACTTCACTGTGGTTATTTTCAACGAATGTGGAAAGCAAATCGAGGGAATGCAGGTTTGAATTCACAAAAATAGAGTTGTCCATGTGCTGCCGAGACTGCATTAATATATTATTTTGTAACAAATCTTTATACGATTTACACACAAGGTGGTACAATTCCAGAAACTGCATACCACACGCTTAAAAAAGGAAAGCTCTTTTAAACCAGTTTTCAGCAATAAATCAGATTTCTTTGATGGTTAACATTGACTTTATATCCATGACTATAAATGGCTTTATTGGAATCAGTAGTATGGTGCAAATTCTGGCTGCTCTCTATTTATGACTAGCTGGCTTACCCGGCTCCGCCGTATCCGGACCAAACTTGGCACACATACACTTCGGGCCCCGGCGAGTGTCACAGTCCACTTTTCGTTATCGATCGATGTCGATTTTACCGATTTTTATCGATTTTTTTGCAGAGTTCACCTACAGGGCTAGGAGTTGGCACAGGGGGGGAAGTGAGCATGGGGATTCCGAATACAACATTAGTTTTCAGGATCGTCCATTACTTTTATCGATTTTATCGATTTTTTTGTAAAGTTTGACCTGCGGGGCTGGGAGTTTGCACAGGGGGGTAATCGAGCATGCAGATTACGAACACAATATTAGTTTCCAGGATCGTCCATTACTTTTTCGATTTTATCGATTTTTTGAAAATTTGAGCTAGGGGGCTGGAATTTGGCATAGGAGTGTAATCGAGCATGCTGATCACCCCCTTGGGGGTGATCAGCATGCTCGATTACCCCCCTGTGCCAACTCCCAGCCCCCTAGCTCAAACTTTGCAAAAAAATCGATAAAATCGATAAAAGTAATCGATAATCCTGAAAACCAATATTGTATTCGGAATCCCCATGCTCGATTACCCCCCTGTGCCAACTCCCAGCCCCGTAGGTGAACTCAGCAAAAAAATCGATAAAAATCGATAAAATCGATATCGATCGATGACGAAAAGTAGCCTATGACACCCGCCGGGGCCCGTAGTGTATGTGTGCCAAGTTTGGTCCGGATCGGTTCAGAAATGGAATTTTCTATTCGGAACATACGTACACACATACAGACAGACATACAGACATACATACAAACAGACATTCAGCTTTATATATAAGATTGATGAAGCAAAAAAATAAAAATATCAAGTTCCTGCATAGTTTCTGCATTTTTTTAAATTTTTTGAGTTTTTGGAACACCACAGAGGTGTTACAAAATCAAAAGAATAAATGTTTTGCTGCAAATGCATATCCTTTTTGTAAATACAGAGTGTCCCAAAAAAATGTATCGCACGTTTGATCTTCAACAACTTCCTTATATGGAAAGCTTTCGCTGATCTTTGGGTGCCGGGGGGAGGGTCTAGGGCTAGCCTCAACTTAGAATTACGGTATAAAGCAAATCACCGATTTCTCTTAGTTGCTGCAGAAACACGGTACGAATTTTCAACTAATTTTAGGCGTCTGACAGAAGAGAATCGCCCTTAAAAAATTTCTAAAAAACCGAAGGACGTCAAGCTAAGCTTTTCAGAATGCTGAATATAATTACAAATTTATCCGCTACCGTACTACTCGACTTCTTACAGACGCACTGTACGCTGAATTTTTGACTTCTTTCCAAAAATTACTTCATTCTTTAATAATTGCAAATAATGAGTGCAATAATCGCAAAATCAGTTTTGATACAATTAATGATTTAGTAAGATTGGATTGATTTGATTGATTGATTTCGACGTATCTGCAGCTGCAAAGTTGATTTAGTAAGTTTCAGAAAAAAGCCAAAAATTCAGCGCTACAGTGCGCATACCGTGAGAAGTCGAGAAATACGGTAGCGGATACATTTGTAATTAGATTTAGCATCCTGAAAACCTTAGTTTGACGCCCTTGGGTTTTTTAAGGAATTTTTTAGAAGCGATTCTCGTCTGTCAAACGCCTAAGATTATTAGGTTGTAAAGAAAGTTCCCGGGCACTTGCGAAATCTTTTTTCAAATCGCTGTAACTTCAAGCAGATTGATTCTTTTCTAAAGCTTTAAGCTTCATTGCAAAGACAATTTTGTCCACAACATAAAATTGTCTTGTTGGTTTCTCAGCACCTCACTGCGGCCCACCAGCATGCGCAGAAAGGAAAAAGGTCGTCGCGAAAAGTGGCCTATTTGCGCAGCATCATCTCATGCAGGATGAGAGCTGGAAAGCTCAGATGTTGTAGTTATAAAGAGATCTGCCGGGGCTTTATGGGGACCATTCACGTTTTTGAAGGACTTCCTGCAAAAAAAGTTTCCCCAGAAAGTTTGAAAAATCGACCTTTTTTGCCCCCAAAAATACACCATTTTTCGAGTAAGTTGCTTTGAAGTCTTCTCGTTCTGTACAGGGCTGACCAAATCTTTGATTACTGCGAATCTTGTTGGGGTAATGCCTTACACTTCTTTTGGACCCATCATCCAGGCGTGGCGATCCCCACAGAAGCGACGCCAGTGCGAAAAGAAATGCAGTCAGTTGCAAGTTCGACAGCTTGTAACTTTTGAGCGCAGAACGCCAAACTCGAGTGCAGCTGCGGGTCAGTAGTCAACAGACTTCTCAATCAGATCACCCATGATTTGGACAGAATTCTGTGAACTGCGCAAAAAAAAATGGCTGCGGAAAGAAAAATTGTGAAATTTTTATGGTCGGAAAGGTTTGCTTTTTTGATGTGCAGATCAGACACGTTTTGGCATCGATAAAAATCAAAAGCGGCTTTGAAAAGTTTAGGCTTCCCTCTACTGAACGGTTTAAAAAACTAGTCGTTAAAGCGACCGAGCGCTGAAAAAATGCGTTTGAAAATGAAATTTCCAAAAGTGCCCGGGAACTTTCTTTACAACCTAATAGTTGAAAATTCGTACCGTTTCCTGCAGCAACTAAGAGGAATCGGTGATTTGCTCTATACTTTATATCTAAGTTGAGGCTAGCTCTACTGTATGGCACACCAAGATCCGCAAAAGCTTTTTATATAAGGAAGTTATCAAAGTTCAAACGTTTGATACATTTTTTTGGGACACCCTGTAGAACCAATTTTGAAAGCCATGTCGAAAAAGATACTGTCGAAATAGTAAGCGCATTTTGACCCGCAGCGAAGCAGGAAAGAGAAATTTTGTGAGAGATGCCATACATTGATTCTGCTTGAGTCAGCCGTTGGCAGTTTATTCTAACCTTAACTTGATGCTCTGTTGTTTGACTATGACACAATGAAGAAAGTATTCAGATTTTTGAAAAGTCAGTGCAAAATAACATGCTCCGAAACGCAAATCACATTGTAGGATGCAAGAATGCTGTATGTATGGATAGATCTCTTGAAATGTAACATACCGAGTTTGTATCCAATCCCATTTAACTGGGAATGTACCCTTTGCTTCAACTAGATTGGCTGTTGGAAGGCGGGGCTTCATGACCTAGGAGGCGACTGCTCGCGTCCGCGACGCAGTCTCGCCTTCCTCGCGAACATGCTCTCTTATCATTTTCTAGCCTTAATTAGGTCACGGAGCCCCGCCTTCCAGCGTTGAAGCAAAGGGTAGAGTGGGAGTGGGGTAGAACAGTGAGCGCCGAAGGTTTAGAGAGGTAAAAGGTATCCGCTTTTCCTGGGTAAAAAAAGTCAATTACCGTCTTCTGAGAAGTGAATGGTTTTTCAGAAAAAAGAATTAATTTATGAGGCAACAATTGTTAGCTAACAGTGATAAATTCGTCTTACAACTGACCTATGTAAAAGTATCAGTTACCTACATTTCTTCAATAATAAACTCCAAATAAATTTAGTTGTAGACAAGCCTCATACTGTTCCATTTGATAAACATCATATAAAAATCAAATTAACCTTGAACCAGTGCTTCACCTCTGCTTCGCAGATTGTCGCACTGGCCATCAAGAAACGATGGTAAACTTACGATACGAAGGCTTTGTTTTAGATTATTGCCAGGTTGACTGCGGTGAAAGAGTCCTAATTAAAAATGAACTATACTCGCTATCAGAGCCTGACATGCTCCAAAGAATTGCAAATCATTCCTCACTGTATTTTCGTATCAGACAGACTTACAGACCAACAAATAAGCGGCTTATTATGAGTGATGATAGAGTGGAATGATAGATATAAGCAAGCTAAGTTTTTTTTGTCTTACAATGAAATGTTGGAAGGTAGATCCTCGATACATAATTCATCCTCGGTATACAATTCTAAGATATTTGCAAAATTTTTTACGTTCGTTACCATTTCCATGAAATTTCTCATAATTTTCTTTATTAATCATATACAGGTTGTAGACATGGTACAGGTTCTAACTCTGCAGGTTTGCCTGTAGCTCTGTTTTCTGTACTATGTTAATAGTTTTCTCAGGGCATTTTTTTATCTCGATAGATAAACTGGGGACTAGCGTATTTCTGAAAAATAAGCATATCAGTCGGTTGCTAAAGATTATTGAGGAATTTTATTCATGAACATTTCTCATTCATGCACAAAAATATTTAGTTTTAAACAGATGCCAATCACAATTCCCGTCATAAAGTAAACCAGTCGAACAAATCTTGGATGCAAGTCATGCTAAGCAATTTCTTGGAGAAATGTGCACATATTGCTGCCTCCCTCCTCTTGGAGAAACCACTTTTCTCGTTTGCACCGCACCAAATCCGAAATTCCATCAAACAATCACAACGTCCATTTTTGTACAAAGACCTATTACAGCAATACTCTAGTACTGCAGATGTAACAAAAACTCTTCCTTTCCTATTTCTTCAAGGTTTTCACAAGTTAGGATCGACACGCTCTGACTTGGAGAGATTGCGAAGCCATTACTCGGGGTGTAACATAATTCGCACAAAAATGTTAAACAACCACAGTTTCTGTAAATTGAGTGAATCTATTTCATTCGGTACTATTTAGTGAAAAAGAATCATGCGCTTTTTGTCAGTGTTGAAAAAAAAAGTTTTTTATAGCTGGACCATGGCAAACAGGAGGACAAACACAGATTGCAGTTTTTTGAATTTCGGTCGCTAAAAATGCAGGTCCAAAAAAAAATTTTACTTTCATCAAAAATCCTATTTCAAACTGAAATAAACTTGCAGCGATCGAATGTCCCTAGAGAAGCTTTTGATTTTCGAACTCCTTTTTTATTTTTGATTTAGCAAAATTGAATTTCTAGTATGTGTGATGAGAGATAGCCTGCAAAAGCAAGAAACTGAAGTATGAAAAATGCTACGCGGAAGTGTTTACAGGCTTCGTATGTTCTAAGCTGGGCATGGTCAGATTAGAAACAAATTTCATTCAATAGGCGTAAACATTCTGTCGAACAATGATAGAGAGCTCAATCCCGTAAATTATCACAGAAAACATAATAGTTTAAAAATTACTAACAAGTTATGCTAGTTTAGGCTGCTTTTCTGGCAAGCACTTGATATTCACCAACGATCATTTCATAATAGAAATACGCTAGAAAAGCGAGGAAATGTGAACAACTGTAGGCAGCATTCAGCAATGGAAACAGATGAGGATATCGTGCAGGTGGAGAGATTGTCCATTCCGCAACACATAGTGCAATGGCACCTAAGCAGGACAAATGCCACGCGAAAAATAGCTGTAATATTGATTTTCACTGAAGCACTTTGAAGCTTCGTGGCTTGCGTCAAACTTGCCGATTTGTTGGGAATTTTGACAATCAGAGCGCATAGAATATAGTAAGCCACGAAGAGCGTGAGCAGTGTGCTATTACCGTCCTTTATACACAATGAGAACATGCTGAACAAAAAAAATCAGATAATTAATAGATCCACACAAGAAAAGAATTCACAGGAAATGTGCGTAAGTAGACTCGCCTAGTATTAGAAATGTGAAGAAACCATGTAGAAATAACTGGATAATGCGGAAGTAATAGCATTGCAGGTCTGAAAAGTTCTCTTTACATCAAAATTGCCAAGCCGATTTATAAACTTACACTGCAGCAAGCAGAATGGATTTTTCATGCACTTGAAATGAAAACAGAAAGAAAGACAACGATGAGATCAGAAGACTCAGTTTGAAATTCTTCGTAGTAGATCGCAAAAATAGAAGCAATAACGATGGTGCCACAGCCAGTAATACAGATATAGCACTGCAAAGTTGAGCTTGAGTTGGAAAACCCAATAATATGAACTATGTCGTTTCGAGACAGAATAGAATAGCTCAACTGACCTTATCTTGATTTGTGTATCCAAGGAGAAGTGCTTGTTCAGGCGAAGAATGGGAGAGAATGCACACCAAACGCTAGCAACTTTGTCCTGCAGGAAGTCATGACTGAGATACAGTAGGTGTAACTTAGTCGTTTATTTTATAGTGAGCAGAAGACAGGCTAATATCTTTTCAGAACAGATGACTTCACTCAATTTTGGAAGCTACCACTGATTTCAAAGTCGAAAATTCAGTCAAGATAAGAAGCGCTATAGAACGTAAATGAAACAAGTGGATCACTCACCTCGTATAATCCACGATAGAAAGGGAAAATCCGTCCAAGCACGGCCAATGCGCTTTGTGTTCCGTTGAGAATAAATGGCAACCAAAGCAAAGCAAATGAAAGCAAAACGATTGTCGCAACTTTCGCAACGGATATAAAGCTATAAAAAATTATAATCAAGTTTAAAAAATAGAAACCAGGACAGAGCATACCTTTCTATCAAGTTCGGCATGATCGGCCTCTTGAGAGATCGCGCCAGTATAAACACGAATATAGGTAGAGCATGGTATAACTCCATTTGCTTATAGTTCAATGCGAGAACAAAAGCTATGGATCCAAGCAGACGTCGCTGAGCAACAAGGAGTAGAAAAGACAAGAGAAATAGTCCTAGTGAGATGCTGTTGTATCTAAAAACGAAATGGTTGATTATAGATGAATTATAAAAATATAATAAGAAAAATGTGAACAATAAAAGAATCAAAAAAATGTGAAATGAGAGAACTCACTGGAAGTGAGCATTGTCGATCGCCAACAATCCCGGATAGAGTAACAAGACAGGAAGAAGAACATTCTGCAAAAAAACGGCTAGTCATGTTTCAGACATAGAAAATTAACCCAATAGAAATGGAAAAGAAACACACCAGCTTCTCGCTGCTTTTCTCGTTGAAAATGAAGAACAGCACAGCAGGCACATAGATCATGTAAAAAGGTAGAATGGCGGTGACACGCATGTACATCTTGTGAGCTGCATTTTGTATACCTCTACTAGTATGTAACGACACCCATGATGGGTTTATGATGTGCGCACTAAATATGTGCTTTTTTTGTGATAAAAGTCGGGAGATATAAAAGCACACAAAGACTTACATGAATCCCATAACATAACTGTGGTAGGCGGTTAGAGGAGGGTAATCAAGTCCCCAGTAGAGGAGATCATTGTCTGTACCATTTAAATACCTGGAGAAACCTTAGTAATGATAACAGAAAATTGAAAAGAGAAAGATTACCATTCGCGCGCGGGAAGGTGGTATGTGATCTCCATCCAGTGGCGTTGAGCTTCAAAATCACCAAACATTGGAGGTTTGCCCTCGCCTAAAACAAAGAATTGAGTGAAAACAAAAGGTCAAGTTTGTATAAAATTGAGACAGAATCTGAGGCGTAAGATTCTCTCCAGAATGTTAACTTACTACAAAAATTTCCCCAAGATCGCTTATTTATATCAAAAATAACCTGAAAACGAAACTAACCAGAGTAACTTCCAACGGCTAGTATTGCTTGCACCGTAGCCACTAACGACAAAATGAAGAAAATGAATAGCCAGTCAATTCCAGAAGAATCTCTCACAGCAGGCACAGTGGACGTCTTTAATATTCATATCAAGGCTACAAAAGACTATTCCATCAAAAGAGCCAACCTTATCGTCATCTTTCTTGTTAGCATTTACATATGGATGGAATCTCCAAGGCTCTTCATTTTCTACACCAGCATACTTTGGATTCAGATGAACTGACCAGCCATCCATCATAAAAATGAAAGTTCTACTTTGGGAGCAATCTGGAAAGTCTACATAAGAACCCAAAATGATATTCAAAAGCTTGGTCAGTCAGATAATTCACTGACTATAGCACCAATCAAAGAAAAGATAAAACGAGGAGAAGAGAGAGAGAGAGAAGAGAGAGAGAGAGAGAGGAAAAAACAAAAGAAACGACCGCTCGAAATACATTTTATGAAGCCGTCATTCAAAATGTAGTACGTAGCAGCATTGCAGAATTCAAGAGAGGGATGAATTTTCTTCTGAATTTTTGAAAACGGTCAACATTCAGTAAATAGCTGGGAATTCGCATTTAGGTACTGTTTTTTTATGAATGTATTTTGTTGCGTTGTAAACCTTCTCGTTGTTTCCAAAGCTTTGAATAATCAAAAATTAGCTAGTGCATTCCAAATCCACTTACTTTGAAATGGACGGAACGCAGAAATCGTTTCCTTTCAGCATCAGGCTTCGTACTGTTTTCAACCTTCGATTTGCAGAAATGGCGCCAGCTGTCGAGCCTGTAGACGAAATGAAAAGCTTGACCATAAGCGGGAAGAAGAAGAAGAAAATTGCTGGACGATGTGATATGGAACTTGGTGATGTGACCCCACATAATGTCAAGCAGCTGAAAACACTGAATTCCTGTATTCTTCCCGTTCCCTACAATGCAAAATTCTACGCGAATGTGGTGGCTGATGGTGAAATGTCGAAGCTGGCTTACGTCAACGACATCGTGGTTGGAGCCGTCTGTTGCCGTATAGATGAGTTCGAAGGGAAGCGATCGCTGTATATAATGACCCTGGGCACTTTGGCACCGTATCGGCAGCTGGGTGTTGGGAATATGCTACTCAATTATGTATTCTCATTGACTGCCAAGGATCCAACCATAGAGAATATCTTCCTGCACGTACAAACCAGCAACGAAACGGCACTGAATTTCTACAAAAATCGCGGGTTCGAACAGGTTGGCGTTCATTTTTCGTTTTTCGCATTTGATATATTCTTTACGATCACTTCAGAATTCTAAAGCTACTTATTCCACAGCGGCTAAAAACACTTTAGAGTCTAATAATAGCGCCCTGTAGACCAAGTCCAAGCCATGTGATTTTGATCCTCTACCATATACCTACCGTAACTTCACAAAGAGGCATAATCATTCAAGAGGGGTGTGTATGTATGCATCTACAGTCTGCCCCAATCCTAACCAGGCCAAAATTGGCTTGGCGGGAGTGCGCACCGCGAGGGTTTCGCGCCACTTCTGCGTCTAGCTAGTCTGCTCTCTCCTCAATCTCTTCGCTCTCTGCGACAGCGCGCGTATGCAGCGCAAACCCCTAGCGCTGCGAGCGCGCAAATTCAGCCGACGGTTCGGCCTGATCCCGATTGGGGCAGACTGTACATAACATCTATTGTACGACTCGGAGACGCGTGACCGCATTGCGGACATTGTCTTAACATGTTTGAGTTTGTTCTTCCCTGTTTCCAAAGAGTGAATAAACGTGGGCGAGTCATAAATGACAAGTATAAACCTGCTATGTACACGATTAAGCTTGTTTAGACAATGTGTGCAAAGCGGTCTCGCGTCTCCTAGTCCTAGAATGAATGATATGTACTATGTTACTGTATGACTGCGGACGTATCGGCATCTCTCCAATCGAGCGCTCTTTCGTCTCTCTCACCATCTGCTGTCTCTCCCATGCACGTACTATTTTGGCCGGACGCAACGGCGCCCAGTCTTTGCGTGTCATGAATCGTGTAAAGTTACCGAAAAAAGGTTTTCATAGACGTGTTGAATAGCTCAATGTCCCGGATTAGATAATTCTGTGATGTTCACTCATCATATTTCTATTGAAACTCAACGAAGCAACATGTTGGATCCCTTAGGTTGGGTTCATACTGATCCGTAATTCCGGAACTGTTCCAGCATAACGCATAGTTTGAGCGCTGCGCTGGAACTCTTCCGAAACTTACGGATCAGTATGAACCTAGCCTTAAAACAAACTCAGACAAATCTATGGTTGACCCCTACCGTACATCTACCGTACCATAGACTTCGCTTTGGATAAGGGTGAAGGTCAGTGGCGGTCCCAGAATTTCGGATCGGGGGGGGGGGGGGGGCGCGACAAAGAAATTTTTCAAATGAAGGTGTGTGGCGTTAGCCACGCACTCCGAAAAAGTTTTGGGGTACTTCTCAAAATTTTTGCGGGTCCCCAACACCTACTGGAAAAAAGGGAACGTGGCGTCAGCCACGACCCGGAAAATCTTTTTTACAAGGCTAATTTGAATTTTTAAAAAATTTTAAAAATTATTTCAATTGTTTACAGAAATAAACAAGTCGTTTGCACATTTTTATAACCCATATAGGTTAGTTTGAAAGGCGCCCCCCCCCCTCGGTCCGCCACTGGTGGAGGTGTATAATAAACATGCAATACGCATATGTACTAGTTACATGGATTACGATACCTACAACTCCAAAAATGCTTTAATATGCCAAAAAGTAGTGATATTTGTGGATGTCGAATTTTGATACAATTTGGAGTCCAACTGAATTAACGCTCAAATATGTTTGTTTTACAGGTTGGCATAGAAGAGAATTACTACAAGCATGTTGAGCCGAAGGATGCATACACGATGGTGAAAAGAATCAAAACGTAATTTGGATTCGTTATTACATTGGCTTTGCCTTTTGCTAGCTGTTTTAGTCATTGATTACTCCGTTCAAATCGGGTTGTAGTTCTTGCTGTTTGCCTATGCACAAATTTTATTCAAAGTCTAATAATATTCAATATGTTCGTTTATAACTTCGATCTTGCTATAAACACGTGCAAAATAGTTCGCAGTAAAATTTTATTTATTTGTTGCATTCCTCTTGCTGCCATGATAGATCAACTGTATTACTGCCTGCAGAAATACTTTTGTTTTATAGCTTTACTTCTTATTTATCCGAACTTGCGATTTCCGCGCTTGATTGCTGTGGATTATCATCATTTTCTAATGACGCTACTCGGCAACGACATTACTGATTGGAAATAATCTAGCATAGCCGAAGATCGAGTGAGTGTGTCATTTTCATGTAGATGTTGAGCTTGGCTTTGCCAAAATCTCCGAATGAAATATCTTTCATCAAATAAAGAATCGGGAAGGGTACAAACAGCGATCTCTTCGGTTGTCACCAAAACTCATTCAGACGTTTGCGAACACTGAAATCGATGCTCAGATGATGTGGTAGCATATCTCCCCTTAAGGCATGATTTAGCTTGCCAGTCCCAAACGAACTATAAAGTGCCCTCAAAACCCCACAGTTCGAAAAATTCTCGATGTCTTACTTGCATTCCCATCTTTTGAACTCGGTAACTTAACTTCGAAAATTGGTCTAGCGCTGTTTTGTGTTTGTATGAGAATATTGCACTGCCTTTTGCAGACCCTTCTGATTTGCGGCACAAACCAAGTTGATTGGAGCATCGTTCTATAGACACTGCTGAAAATAAGTACTACCGACCAGGGCCCGGCACAGATGGTTTGAGGTCAAATGGACTTCGTTTTTGAAGTTAGAAGCAAAGGGGTTATCGTTTTTGTAAGGTCCTGGAGGAAGCGCCAAAAAAAAAGACGACTAACATGTCAAGTTTTACAAGTTGAGCGTGTTCTTTCGCAAGCGCGCGAATTTCAAACGCAAGACTAAAACAAACAAATGGCTTGTTTACAACGCACAAATAATCACATGGCTCCGAATTTGGGTTATGTGTATACAATATTACTCCAAACTATGTTATGTAAAAAGTTCCAAAAACTTATGTGTCCTAATATCCGTTCCCGAATTTGTTGGTTTCTAGACAAACACCAAACCAACTGGGTTGGTTCGGAGCATAAATATTGGAGGGTTCACATAAGTTTTGGACCTTCTTGACTTGGACGATCAGAACGGTCAAAAATCTATCATATCGTGAAGAAAGCGAATCAAACCGTTGCCTCTCTTCTCTTTTTTGAGCCAAAAATAGTGCAGTTCTGCGCGTTGATAGATATTGCGCTCCAATCACATGCGGTCTCCTCTGAACGACGTATCGGCATGCGCCATACTTGATCCGCTTGATCCGCTTCATCATTGGTCAATTCAGTGAACTGACCAATAGTGAAGTGGATGAAGTGGATCAAGCGGATCAAGCGGACAACCGCTTCGCTATTGGTCAATTCACTGAATCGACCAGTGGCGAAGCGGATCAAGCGGATCAAGTGGATTAAGCGGATCAAGTATGGCGGGTGCCATTCGAGGCGCACAGCTATTTCCTTTGGCTCACGTCGCCCTTGGTCAGGCTTTTGTCCGCGGAGCGCGGCAACCTCCTCAGACTGGATCTCTAGACTTCTATTTGTGCATTTCAGCCTTTGCTAATCTTCTCTCTTCTTTCAGTGATAGGTTGAACTTGTTTATTGTTTATTGTTTACAAACAAATGTCTCGTTTTCTTCAAGCTCAACCTACCTAACCTTGATATGGACCTGATATTTGCAGCTTGAATAGTGTAGAAGAGTTCATCAATGCATCATCTCAAATGTTGATGTAAAAAGCATACGCAAACCACGATAAAGGTGGCTCGCACAGTGGACTATCAGCTACGGTAATGAAGGACTCCTAACTCCTAACTGCGTGGTGTGCCCATTTGGTAGGGAGGGTAATTGCATGCTATCCGGTATTGTATATCTTATCACATGTTTAATGCGGCGATACATATATTGGTGAAACGGGCCGCCCTCTCTGCTGTCGCGTTAAGGAACATATAGACGGCTTAAATAAGTTAAAAGCAGCCACTCCTTTGGGCAAGCATCGTATAGTGCGCCATGATAAAGCTGAAATTCAAATTGCGGTGCAAATCTTGTCGTTCGAACCCGAGATCCTTGCGCGCAAAACGTTGGAAGCGTTTTGGATAAACGCCAGAAATCCAAAAATGAATAGAAAGGAGGAGTGTATCGCTATCACTAAAGAACTGGCGCCATATCAATCCCTATGCGGATTTGAATATGAGGTCAGGTCACAACGGCATATATAAGTAGAGCTGAGGCATAGTCTTGCATACATGGCGGTCTCTCGACTTCCGTTTTGCTTCTGGCTAAGGTTAGTATTGCTCTTGTTGCTCTGACTGGGTTTTCATTGGCTTTTTCTCGAATAGTACTCTGTGTCCTTTGTTGACGTCTGAGGGAATAGATTCTGATGAGTCCGACTTCCAAGCTTTGACGAAGGCGACAGCGCCGAAACGTAGGCCATTGTACAATAATAAACTGTGTACCATCTTGGTCAACCGCTCAAACCACACCTCTCAAGTGACAAGCCATGCCGAGGTTCAAGGATAGCCGAACATGGACAGTACTGAAAGACGTACCAGCAAGATGCTTTCGGCTAGTAAAGGAAGTACTCTCCATGCGACAGAAGATTGTTTCCGAGAGACAATGCATCCACTTTCTCCGCCGTTGTGTGGAAAACAGTACCGCCGCTTAAGTAGGGTCTGGTTGGAAACTGCGCGATCTGCGGGACTCCCAAGGAGCATAGTAACGCGTTTTAAAAACGATCAGCCCATTTGTCCGGTCCTCTACACACTGGTCAAAACCCATAAACCTCCCGCAGTAGGATTAACTTCAAATAATGCGCGCGATTTCAAAGTGCGACCCATTATTAGTGGCGTTGGCGGGCCAACAAACAAAATAGCGTGGTTTTTAAACATAATTCTTACGCAACTGCTAAAATATATTCCTGCGCATCTTAGTAACACTAATATGCTTCTCAACCGGCTACGATCCACGCAACTCACCCGGGACTGCGTCATCGAGTCATTTGACGTCACGTCGCTGTATACAAACGTGTCAAATGATGCTGCACTTCAGGCTACCTACGAGCTTCTTTCGGAGCATCAGGCCGCTCTTGCCTTACACGGTCTCAGTATTTGCAACATCATGACCCTTCTTCACGAATGCTTACGCTGTACGGTGTTCCGATGGTCGGGTCAGTACTACAAACAGGTCAGGGGCTTAGCAATGGGACAGCGACTTGCACCTACTTTAGCTATCATTTTCATGTCTAAAATAGAAGCGCCGGTATTGGAGCGTAAACCCCTTTTGTATGGTCGGTATATAGACGACTGTTGCGTCATATGTCCCACCCAAGCGGAGGTAGAAACTTGCTTTAGCATACTAAATCAACAGTCGCCAAACATCGTATTCACTAGGGAAAGCCCTCCGGGGAATGGTTAGCGTTTCTAAACGTGCAAATTCAGCTTGCAGGCGGAGGGTACAAAACAAAGGTATCGCAAGCCCAGTAACAAAAACATCCTCATATATTCTTTGTCCGCACATCCAAATAGGATGAAAAGGGCTATTGTGGGTAACATGTACAAAGCGGTCTCTCGACTTCCGTTTTGCTTCTGGCTAAGGTTAGTATTGCTCTTGTTGCTTTGACTGGGTTTTCATTGGCTTTTTCTCGAATAGTACTCTGTGTCCTTTGTTGACGTCTGAGGGAATAGATTCTGATGAGTCCGACTTTCAGGCTCTGACGAAGGCGACAGCGCCGAAACGTAGGCCATTGTACAATAATAAACTGTGTACCATCTTGGTCAACCGCTCAAACCACACCTCTCAAGGACTGTACCGTCGGCGCCGCCGTTGAAAAAACTCAAACGTGCTGTTGCGTCGAAAGCGCGCTTCGTAAAAAGCCAAATTTCCACAAAGAAAGAGAGGGTAGGGGAACGAAAGCCGCCAGTTTGAGCCGCCTTTCGCGGCTAACTGGTCCTTTCGCAACGTTGTTGCATGTCGTCCCAGGACCAGCAGTCCGCGGAGGCGGCCCAGACTGGCGGCTTTCGTTCCCCTATCCAGAAAGAGATATCATTGGAAAGAGTTTATTCTAATCTATCCACATTAGCTACTACTTTTTGCGAATACCATTATCAACTTCAGCTGACCCCAAATCTGGCGCCAATCACTGCAGTGGTATAATCGAATGAGCTGGCAATATCAAGGACGCGGTCACCTGCTTTGTGCTCAGCTAAAGTTGACAAGGCAAGGGTTTTGCTGAAGGGTTGCAGTTTTGAATATATTGGAGTGAGCTCTTTATGATACCTCTTTCTTTATGGAAATCTGGCTTTCAAGAGAGTTATATCGAGGCGGGGACTTTCGACGCATGTCTTTAACGGCGACGCCGACGGTACCGTAGAAAGGAGAAAGTAATCGTAGGCACGTTTGAAATGTACGATGATACTTGCGCAGAGTCTCACTCTCACGAAAACTGCTTTTGCTTTTCTAGTTCGTAAACTCGCAACAGTATTCTCCCTTTAAAAAACTAGTGTCCAAGATAAATATGCTGGAAACACCATGTTTACAACTTGAATTCAAGTTGGATATTCTAGCCGGAAACTATTGGGTATCACCAGACCATTTTCAATCCTTAAGGATTGGCAGGCATGGAACAAATAAGGCGGCAAGGAAGCGTCGACCCATGGCGTTGCTAATTGTTTACGCGCAAATTTTATCGCATTTCACCTACAACTGCAAGCACACTATATTAGGCGGAAAATCTACTTGACTGTAGCTAGTATTTTCTAGATCCCTGGCCATTTTGACACCCTGAGTGCAAATAATAGACAAAAGTTGAGAAATGCTACACAGGGTGATTTTTTATAGTGAGAGAAAGAAGAAAATACACAAAAGTGGAGATGCAAGAAAGAAGTCATGGAGATGCAAGACAAGTCCGAGGAGGTTGCCGCGCTCTGCGGACAAACGCCTGACCAAGGACGACGTGAGCCAAAGGAAATACCCTCGATATCATCCCATATGTCTTCCCTCAACATGATGTGGATTACGTGGCTTGATGAGGCGCCGCCTCGCCTCGGGCTTGCGCCACGTTTGCGTGCGCATCTTCGGCGTGATGTGGCAACAAGAAGAACGTGGAGAAGCCTGCGCGACGTTGTGCTGAGCGCCACGTCGCGCCAAATGATGCGCTCGCAACGTGGCGCGAGCCCGAGGCGAGGCGGCGCCTCATCAAGGCACGTAATCCACTGGCCGTATTCATCAACGAACCCCGAGGGTTAAACTAACCCTGGAGGGTTAGTTTAACCCTGGAAAGCGTTTAACCCGTATTCATGAAACACAGGGTAGGCTTAACCCTGAGGGTTAATTCTAACCTTGAGGGTTAATTTTACCCCGAAAGCGACTAACCCGTATTCATCAACGAACCGTGAGGGTTAAACTAACCCTGGAGGGTTAAGCTTACGTGATTCATCAGGGTTAATTTAACCCTAGCTCAGAGCAAGGTTAACTCTACCCTAGCACTTCATACAAACATTTACTCGCATGTAGTTTTATAGAAAACGATTAACGAGTGTTGTAGTACTTAGTATTAGTTGTTATAGTATCTAGTTTCAACTTCGTTTCGTGTTCAAATTCGAAGTACATGAAACACTGACTTCGCGAGAAAAAAAATCCTAGCTTAGTGACAAATGAATGCAACGAGGAAAAATGGTTGCGCATTCCACTCTGACAAGTGCCAAAACTGAAGAACCCCTTTATGATAACACGCACTGACCCCTAAAAAAGTAGCATAAGCCCGGTATAAAACGAATTACGCAAAAGAACTTACACGGCACAATGCACACATGAAAATAAACCCACGCTGTAAGAGTGGATGCTGCACAAATATGCTAGAGATGTATTATAAAAACTAGTGCTAGAAGCTTATTCATTGATTATACTACTATAACAGTGAAAGAATAGAAGTATAAAGTAAATTTAGCGTACTTAGGCATTCTGTGATGTGAGTTCGCACAGCGCACGCATAACTGACGCCTTAACCCTCCAGGGTTAGTTTAACCCTCAGGGTTCATTGGCCGTATTCATCAACCATAGGGTTCGTTGATGATTACGGCCACAGGTTCGTTAATCGATACGGGTAGATCGCGTTCCGTGGTAAACCCTAGCCTATGGTTGATGAATACGGCCAATGAACCCTGAGGGTTAAACTAACCCTGGAGGGTAAGCTTAACCCTCAGGGTTCGTTGATGAATACGGCCACACGTCATGTTGAGGGAAGACATACGGGATGATATCGAGGGTAGCTGTGCGCCTCGAATACGTCCCTTTGAACTATGTGGCGAAAAATGCATCGCCGGGTTGTTGAGGCCACAGATTTGGTTGGCCTAAGAGGGTTCCGACTTCCGAGCACTTAAATGGTGCTATACCCAATGGCAGAGCCTTCAATCGAGTTGAAATGTTTTCTGTTTGCTTAAAATGCACTTTTTTCGCTTTTTTATTGTTATTTTGGTTGAATAAGGATTTTTCTATTAATTTTTACGTCGAGAGGGACTTCGTAAATTTTCGAAAAGTCATGGGGGACTTCGTTCCCAAAAAAGCTCCAAACCAGTGCGTGCCGGGCCCTGCTACCGACCAATCCAATGTGCTAATAGATCACAACGATATCGAGTACACTATCGCTAAACAGTGGCAATGTTTCATCAGAAAGCTAACGGAACTTGTCACATTTCTTGCCGCGCCTCTCGAAACTTGCAGCACTCCCAAACTTATGGCTAACTTATGGCAGCAAACTTATGGCTTTTGGAATGCGTATCCACCATCTAAACTATTAGAAAAGACTATGTACATTCGTTTATCTACTATACCACCACGGGACCGGCCATACGTCATGTGTCGCACTACGGAACACCGCGAATTCATACATTGCTTTTGTTTCGCATTAATTGTTGACCAGCAAATCACAGGAATCGCCGGAATGCAGCAGTCACAGGAATAGTATGGCCGTCCCAAACAGTGCTCGCTAATCTATTATAATGGCGTGCGTTTGGAAGCAAAAGTTCATTTGCGGAATGTTCTTCGGTCTCGCTTGACGGTCCCGTAACGATTGGCCGTGGCCGCAAATTTGCGAGATCGCGTTCTGATTATTGGTCTCCGTTTGTCAATATTTCTGCGCGATTTTCGTCGTTTTCGTCAGCGTTTTCATGTAGATGTCATTTGTGAATGATGTGATGCATTGTCTCAGCAAGTTGCTGAGGTCTTGCTTTCGCTTCATTGCGGTTTTTCTTTAGCAAGGAGACTTCTCCTATTGTCACTTGATCTTTCTTCCTATTTTTCCGTAGTTTCTATTTCTATTGGTTAAGGATGCGTTCTTCCAATTTTCTCGATTCCGACTAACATCTTCATCATTTTTCAGCTTGGAATGCATTTAATTTGATCATTGTAGGGTCAAACCGTAGCTGTATACAGACAAGATGGGCATCTCCGACAACGATGTACAGAAGCAACTCCGCCACATGATGGCTTTCATCGAGCAGGAGGCTAATGAGAAGGCTGAAGAAATTGACGCTAAAGCCGAAGAAGAATTCAACATTGAGAAGGTTAGCAAAAGCGTTTTTGGCTTTTTCATTTTTCAGTAGTCTAAAGTACTCGAATCTTCTTTGGTATGTTTCCTTTTTTCCTGTGCTTCGTCTTTGTTTTTTGAACTACCCATCCGCTTATGTCTGATTTCTTCCTTTGGAGCTTGTGCTGATAAGAAGATTAAACGTCAATTTTTACATAGGGTTTACTCGAGTGATTTTCATTGCAGTAAAAAGGGCCTTTATGACATCATCTAGTTCTTAATGTCATCGATAATATAGAAGAGTTGCTAGGGACCGGCCATACTATTCCTGGGGTTTCTGTAATTTCTGCGTTTCCTGGGAGTTCTGCGGATCCCGTAGCAATATATATTGCGAAAAAAAAAACAATGTGTACTGAAATTTGCAAAGCGCTCAGTAGTGTGGCCCATCGGAAGTCGAGGAATCACAGGCACAAAAAAATCGCATGAATCATCTCTGGAATAGTATAGCCTGTCTCTTAAGATTTGTTTTTTTGCATCGGTTTTATTTTCACAGGGACGTCTTGTTCAACAACAACGTCAGAAGATCATGGAATTCTACGAGAAGAAGGAGAAACAAGTCGAGTTGCAGCGAAAAATTCAGTCATCAAACTCCCTCAATGAGGGCCGCCTAATGTGTCTGAAGGTCTGTTACCAACTTTCGGCTATACTTTCCCGTTGGCTCATATTATGATTTTTAGGCTCGAGAAGATCATATCAGAAATGTGCTTGAAGAGGCAAGAATGAACTTGTCGAAGATTTCTGGTGATCAAGCTCGTTATCCTTCAATTCTCAAGGGTCTAATCATGCAGGTATGCTTTGTTTGTTTCTAGAAAGCTATAATTTTCACACTTAGTGGCTGTTTCACTGATTTCTATTGAGTTTAGGCTATGCTACAACTTCTTGAGAAAGAAGTCACCCTCCAGTGTCGCGAAAAAGATCTCCCACTAGTTGAGAAGCTTCTTCCAGAGTGTCTTGATGCCCTTGAAAAGGAATGGGGAGAGAAAACTAAGGTGTGTGAGGGTCTCTTAATGAGTACTTCGGCATAGTCATACAATACTTCCTTTTTATTTTTCTTTCTTTTTTCTCGGGATAGTCTTTTTGTTAAGCATCACTGACTTTCTCTTCAAATCATCTTTTGTATGATTTTCGAAATTTCTGCTACCCAACTTTTCCTCTAAAATGTGCTGAGGACCTTGAAATGATCAAATATGGTGCTATTCTCTTTATTCTTAGGCTTTACATGATATACATAAAGAATTTTCAGGTTACGATAGACAAGCAACACTATTTGTCGCCCGAATCTGCTGGAGGAATCGAACTGACCGCAAAGGCTGGAAAAATTAGAGTTTCATCCACACTAGAAAGTCGATTGGATTTAATTGCTAGTCAGGTATGTTCGATGGCATGTCTCCTTCGTTTCTCCTTTCATTCTTTCCCTTTTTTCAGATTGTGCCACAAATTCGTACGGCACTGTTCGGTCCCAACCCCAACAGAAAATTCTTTGACTAATCATTACTTTGCTTCTTCTGTACATGCCCAAATTGACCTTTTTCCACCATATTCGTGTTGTTCTCGCATAGGTCAGATTCAGAGTCCGCGGCTTATCTTTCTCGCTATAGTCTATCTAGCTTAGCTGTGTTCGATTTTAGCCCGGACCTCATCGTATTACTGCAAGTTTCACCCGCATGAAACTTACCAATGATCCGCCAACCATTCCATGATCGTGCTTGTATGTGATAGAATTCGCCGAGTTACCCGAAAAAGACTTGACACGTCTATTATCACTTAGAGTATTTATAGATAGTCAGGTCGTTTTGTTTACTTAATATTGATATTGAGTTTCTCTCTTATGTTTTGCGCACACATGATAAATGGATATTATAGAAATGTTTCGTTGGTGTCATCATGCAATCGGCTTGCCTAACCTACCAGATATTGTGTTCTTTTACCATTCTAACTGTGATGAATGGGTAGATAGATTTTTAAGCACATGGGTTTTGTATCAAAATTAAGTCAGACCTGCTTGTCGCTGAGCGAATTTATTACGGTGGTGTTCATTTTGCTCTGCAACTGACATTCTAGAAAAATGGGTGATGGAAAATGATATGAACGGTTACATCAGTCTTTCTAAAAGGCGGCGATGCACGCCCGAATGTGCATAGTTATGGGGGCTATCCCGACGGTGACTTTGTGTCGAAAATTCTGGGAAGAAATTCTTGTTTTTAGGAATGCTTCTCGATCTTGTATACATGATCTGAAAATAAAAATAATCTTATTGCTAAGGAGGGGTGGAAATGAATCTCGTTCACTCAACTTAATCAAAAGAAAGTTGATTTGCTACGAACAAGAGACAAGCTGCCACGAAATAAGGACTAGAAGGGATTTTTTTGTTGTGTTTTAGGAGCTTTTGGCAACGAAGGCGCTCGTTACGTGTGGGTGGCAATCGAAAATCGTCGCAACACGATGTTACAGTAACCGCACGCGGGGGATCAGTAGGGCAGCAAACTTGTTCATATTTACACACCCAGGTTATCAATGCTTCTTCTATATTGTTAGTCTTTTGCCTTCTTCAGTGTGTCTTCTTTGCCCTTTAAAAGACTGAATTTACAAGTTGTATGGCAGAACTTCAAAGAAGTGGTTAAACTTTAAACTAATATGGGAATAGCCTGAGAACCTCAACAAAGGATGAAAAACTGTGAACAGACTGTTATGTCATTCGGTGATTGCTCACCATCAACGAATATGAAGATTAATGTACCAGAAAAGGCAGAATTAGCGAATAGGACTTACTTGTGTTCTATTGCGGCTTGAGAGAAATTTCTAGAAAATCAGCGAAGCGAATCCCCGCCTTGCATCAAACTCCAGCGCTGCACTAGGATATGTTGTACTTCTGAAGTGTATTAGAGAAAAATAACGAGGGACAACTGAGCAGCCTAACATTATCGTCAAGACTATTCCAAAGGCGAGAATTTGGCAGAGAGATTTAAAAATTGCAACTTTAGATTGTCTTTCGTCAGGCTTTATTCTTTGCAAAGATTTATTTGATGATTGTTGGATCTACTGCGAAACAAGTTGTTGTTCAAGCAAAGGCAAGCAAAGTCGGAGCTGCAGTGAAACGGAAGGTTAGTTCAAAGAGAAGAAAAGAAAGTTCTGGGATTTTATGATTTTCATTTTTTTTGTATAGGTAACGCTGTATTTCATTTTTTTGTACAGGTAGCCGCTGTATTTCATTTTTTTGTATAGGTAAACGCTGCTGTGTATGGATGTGGCCTTTCTGCCTCGGGAGCACTGGCTATACCCCGTCTTGTTGTGAATGATAAGATTGTTACTGCAAAAGAAGCACATAAACCACTGCGTATTAGCCATTTCAATGTGAAAGGAATAAGACATGTAGCAGCTGGCTTTGGATTCTCTTTGTTCGCCTCGAAGGACAGACTCTATGGTGCAGGGCTGAATAACAGGCAAGAGCTGGCTCATGAATTTTTGTTTGCTGGAACTTAGCTTTTTATTTTCTACTTTTGAAGAATTTCTTGATTTTGTTACACTCTTGTATTGACTTCCCCAGAATCATCCCGATTTAGATTTCAAATCACTAGTCATATTCAAATGGAGGGCAAAAAGGGACAAGAGTACTACATCAGCGCAAAACGGATTCAGCTCCCTGTTCGTGAGTTTAAACAAATTTGTGCTCGTTATTTTCTTCTCCTTGCCTGCAGGAATCTCAACAGAATCTCCTTTTTTTTCAAAAGTTTTTTTTTGTTTCTTTGAGGCCATGTCGATCTGTTTTTGCTTGTTGACAATTATCAAGCTATACAACGCTTACATACACATTCTTCTATCAATTTTTTCTAAGACTAACGCAATCTTTGTGTTAGGCTGCATATCATTACCATTTTTGCAGCAACTAGCGTACTTTCAATTTCTTCTGGACGTGCACATTCCTTGGTAGCTACCACATCTGGAGTATACGCTTTTGGAGATAATGCTCATGGACAGTGTGGTCAAGATCCAAAGCATCGACGCGAAGTTCACGGGGTAAGTATTTCGAGCTCCTGAACAAGTGCATTTACGTGGATTGCCTTCTTCAGGTGAAGGACTTACCGCTTCCAAAAGTAGAAATACCTAGTGATTCTCCTGTTGCCGCTGTGCATTGTGCACTGGACAGTTCATTCATTTTGACGGAGAAAGGTGAAGTATTTGCGTTTGGTTTGAATGAGGATGGGCAATGTGCGAATGGAGAATATGGGATCCAATGGAAACCTTGTAAGGTATTAGGTGAGTGCGAATATTTTTCAGCGTCATAATTTTTCAGTCTTTTTAGTGTAGTAATTTGGTCCAAATTTTTTTTCTCAGTGCATAGCCTTTGCGTGTTTTTGTCTTGCTGTGTCTGAAACTGGAATGTGTGCTTGTCTTGCTCAGAAAGAACTATTAGAGCAATTTTGTTGTCAGGTGACGCAGCGGATGAGCGGATTATAGCAATCTCAGGCAGCTCGGACACCCTATTAGCTTTATCGGAGAAAGGTGAACTTTTCATCTGGGGACAGTGCGAATATGGGCAGGCTGGAGTGGGAAATGATAAGATTCAGGTTAGAAACAAGGTTTCATTCGTTCTTGATTTCAAATTTAGCTACTTTAAGTTGAATATCTCCCGATTTGTCCCATTTTCATCTGGTAAGATAGTGTCAGCTGGTTCTACAGCAAGTTCATGCATCATCAATACCGATAAAGGAGAAGTGAGTTATTTTAACGTATTAAATTGTTTCTATGCCAATTGAACCGACTTCTACCAATCAAATAAGTTTGTATGAGCTTTGAATGCTCAGGTTTATGCTTGGGGAGTTGGATTGCTTGGTTTCGGGCCTGCTACTCAGAAGCTAGATCGACCAACTTTGATGGACCAACCCCTTTTTGAGAATCAAAAGGTTCATTTCTTTGTCGTTTGATCTTGGGTATACTCATTTCACCCTTTTAGGTTGTCAAAGTCTACGCGGGGAATACTTCACTTGCAGCAGTCAACTCCTCTGGACGGTTGTTTACGTGGGGACAAAATAGGTCTGTTATAATTCTTTTCACTTGTAGTTTTGCAAGGTTTTATTGATTTACTGATCTAGTCTTTTTATTTATGACAGTTTGCGCTTTCAGATATGGACTACTGGGATTAGAGCATGGGAAAGATCAGTACTTCCCATATCAAGTTTTCTTCCCCTACGATGTCAAACACGTCTCCCTTGGACCCGATCACTCTTTGTTTCTACTTAAGTGAATGAATAATAATTTGAACAAAGGCAGATTACGATTTTCATCTAGTCTTGCATTCGAATCTCATTTTAATTCTGGTAATTTGTTAGAAGAGCATCGTTGTGCCTATCAGGTGCTTTAATTCATGTTTGTAAGATTTATGGCTTTGTTAACTGTTTGTTGTTTTATGCTTACTCGGCGATTCTCCTACCTTTGATTGGAAGTTTGTCGTAGTAGTCTGTTCTTCTCAGTGGCTTTGAGATTGTACCTCATTAGTAAAATGTTTGAATTTTCACCTGAATGAATCGTTACCTAGAAATTCTTAATTGGCACAGTCCGAGCTTGTGACGGTAACATCTTGATCTTGTTTAAAATCATCAACTGCGTATTTAAAATCATCCTGGAGATGTGAATCCTTCATTTCATAATAATTTCTTCATTCTCTAATTTATGGCATAGAAAGTCTCCAAGCTGCCGTAGTTCCAAAGCAAAATGTTGGTAAAACGTTTTTACTGGAAAAGTACTGGGAAGTCGAATTTCGCGATTCAAGTGTCTTGCATGACCGCAGAGAAGGATCTGTTCCAATATGAGTTAAAGGCAGTGGATCAGTAGAATGGACCCTTCTCGGATTTTGGTGTATTTAGGTAGTAGACTCCCAGTTACACTGTAGCCCAGACCCTACTTGCCAATTCATGTGCTAAGTCCTGAAAAATGCGCTTCAAATCTCCACCAGCCCCGCCCCTTTCCATTGAGTGGGCGGGGCTGGTGGAGTTTTGAAGCGCAATTTTCAGGACTCAGCGCATGATTTGGCAGGCGGGGTTTGGGCTATAGTGTGCTTGAGAGCTCTACTACCTAAATCCACCAAAATTCGAGAAGGGTCCATTCTACTGATCCACTGCCTTTAAGGACCAGGGCTCGGTACGAGATGGCTAGTTGAAAATGCAAGAAACGAAGCCCCCCTTGACTTTGCGAATCTTTACGAAGTCCCCTTTGACCTAGACCATAATCCCTAAAAAAAATCTCCAAAAGATGAAACACCGACCAAAAAAAACGTTGCAAAATTTGTGTCTTTTCGGCCACAAAAATGAAACCCCCTTTGCTTTTTTGTCCTAAAACGATATTCAGCTTGCTTATGAGCTACCTGTGCCGAGTCCTGTCAAGGACAAGTGGAGATTAATTGGCAAAAGGATGATTTTTTTTTTGAAATTGTACGAGTTCAGTAGCCTCGTATAAAAATCACATGAGAGGTGTAGCTGTCTCTCTCAGTAAATCAGAATCAACTTTCTGAAAAAAAATAGCCAAAAAGTTTCGTGCGTTCATTCTCCTCTTCCTATCCAAGATCCATCTTCGACTACTGTAGCTTGTAACCTATAGGAAATAGAACAAAATTACTTATCAACTTTGATCCCTTATAGCCCACCTACTTCCTGGCTTGTCATCTTCCTTTTTTGGTATTACGGTAGATCGTTTAGCCTTTTCCATGGTTTATGACTTGTAGATCTCATTTGGAACATGTCGAACGTAGTTCGTGCAGCAGGTCTGGTAGTTTTTCGCCGAATTTCGGATAAAATAGAATTTTTGTTGCTTCAAGCTAGTTATCCTCCTTACCACTGGACTCCACCCAAAGGTAAGTATCATTTACTCAAACCACGAGCAATACCAGCGTTTTTCAGGTCACGTCGATCCTGGGGAAGACGAATGGGTGGCAGCACTACGGGAAACAAATGAGGAAGCGGGTTTGGTGCAAGATCAGCTCAAAATATATGAGGATTGTCATGAGACGTTGCGCTATGATGTAAATTTTAGCAATTTCATCTTAGGGGCCACGAGAATTTCGTAGATACCAAAAATTGATAGATCAGTTGAGATTTTAATACGCAAAGGCGTGTCTACGAGTCCCTGGATTTTTTAGTGTTTTGATGTTGTGAGGTCTTCAACTAGATCACTGCTCAAGCGGTAGATCATGTGATTCATTCTTGTTCGAGAAATCCAGTTTCAAACACTCGTCCCTACCGTACTTGAGAAGATTCCGCGAAGAAAGAGTACGGTACTGGGCGAGAGTATCTAAAGTTGAATTTCTTCATTCTCAATAAGATGTACATTCATTTGCTTGAATTCTGCCTATAATTTTATAGGATAGAGTTTCAAACGTCGCGTAAAACAGTCGAAATAAGCGATTGTACTTGGAAAAAATAAGCAACACATGCGCAGACAGCTTCACCGCCGCGCCGCAGCCTGTGCATTGTCTGCGTCTGTGACTCATCTGTGGTTGCCAATTCACTTCGCGGTAAAGGCAGGCAGAATTCACGAAAATTTTTGGAGTTGATGAAAATTCAGTCAAAATTAAAAATTGAAGTTAAAATTTAAAGCAAATACTTTTTACTTTATTGTCGCTTGAGTAGTCACATATTCTCAAATTTGTTTATAACCTACCAAGGTAAGGAACTTTTACTATGAGTCAATGAAATAGTGCTATTCTAAATGTACTGTTGCGCTAATTAATTCACTAATTCGAATTATAAAAGTTAAAATGCCTTTTTCTTACTATGTCCACATTTTTCAGGTGAAGGGAAAACCAAAAACAGTGAAATACTGGCTTGCCCTGCTCAAGAACCCCCTCGACGTGAAGCTTTCGCATGAACATCAAATGTGGAAATGGGCAGAACTTGAGGAAGCCGTTAAAATTGCGGATTACGCTGAAATGGGGGCCCTTCTCAGAAAATTTCATGAGTATATTTTGAATATGAAGTGATGTTCATTTAGGTTCTGCATAGAGTATAGGTATATCATAGTATCATAGGTGTAGATCTCTATATTATTTATCTATCAAGTCATTTGTAACTTATATGATTATTGCACACTATGTGCGCTAATTGACGAACTGCAAAATCAAAAACTGCTCATTTCCGGTGATTTCTCCTTGTTTCCTCATCTCTTTTGTTTTCATGGGATATATATTAGTTAGTAGAGCACATTGCTGAAGTTTACTAGGCTAGAAAATGTTTCACTAGAAATTAACTAGTGAGGTTGTCGTCGCTAATCGCGCAATGTGTGCAGTCTCACATATTAAGTCACAAGTGTTTTGTGAGTACTTAATTCATCTTTTTGTTACGTTGTTGTGATGGTGTGGTGTGAGTAATAGAATGAGTCATAGTTTTCCTTGAGATGAATCATCAATGAGTTGAGATTAGGGCACTTTGGTTGATGTTTATTTAGTGACTCTAGCTCAATATGTAACTGGCAGGATCTGTAAAAGCTATTTTCTTTGACTTTTTTAGCGATAAATCTAGAATGTTTTTTTTCGTTTTCGAAAGGTTTCAAAAGTTCAAAAGCAAGCGTTTCCTGCAATTATTGGGCGAAATTTTCTATATAGGTGGGTATAGGTTTGGAGCTTTTGGTTACATCTAATGTATTATTTATTTCAGGAAAGATTAGAAATGCATTTTTTGTTTTTCTTCATATTAGCATATCTCAAACTGTTCTTGAGTCGCAATATCTAAAAAAAAACAACGAAGAAATGAAACATCGATATTTTCCTGCGCAAAGAGCCACCAAAATCGCCCAAAAATCTCAAATCTTCGTGAAAAATCGAAGATGTCAAGAAGATACAGGGGTAAAAAAATTTGAACAAAATTGATTACACTAGATTTTGTTGTTTATTGGACACACTATTCATGAACAGTGTAACGTAATCGTCCCTGACCTTGACTGCTACGCCGAGCATTGTTTCCTAACTGTTGGACGTTGATCGTCTCAACGCCTTGTCACACCTATTGTGTAATTTTCATTGTTGACCTGAAAAGGAGCAAAATCTGCTTTTATAAGGAATTTCGGAGCTGAAAGTGGTTCGAAAACCTACAGACTGCTAAATTTGGAAAACAAAAAATCTATTTTTTTCAATTGTTTTTCACATTGTTTTGAACACAGTCCTCGCTTTGAGTCTTCGCCTTCATGTATAATTTTTGGATGTTTTCCAAACCCAGAAAATTGAGCTTTAGGCACGTTCCTAGTGTCTGTGGACTGTATGGGTACTGTATCACAACTTCCGCACTTTTATCTAAGACATTCTTTTTTTAGGTTGACTTTTTGCGCCATTCTCTGGAAAATTCTATAAAGATAAGAAACTATTCACAGCATCATTTTTGCCGGCACGAACATGAGTAAATAAAAATGTAATTCTGTAACGGCACTTCAACCCTCACGTTCTTTATTTTTTAAGAATTTTCTTCGACCTTGTTTTTCACATTTAAAATTTTTATAGACATCTGGAAGCTTCAGTAGTAATATGAGGCAATTGGGAAGTTCGATCAGTCACACAGGTTGAGAATTTGCCAAAAATGATTCAAGAAGTTTTTTTAAAACGCCGAAAGTTGAAATTTTGACACATATATAGCAAAATCACAACGTTAACATGAATTGGAAAACAATGAAAAGTATTTTGAAGAAGATATGCAATTTTCTTCCGTTAGATATAACAAAACTTAGAAACAACTTATACATTTCACACTAGGATTTGTTGTTGTTGTGAATCTTTTGGGAATTTGTTATCACAGTTTTTATGGTGACAGTGAATTTCCATCAAACAATGAAGTTTCACAAGCTCTCAGAACGTCTCTTCATCGTCTCTGTTTTTCTCTTGCTAACACGGAGCCCATTAACCTTTTCTTCGTAATGGCGGAAAATTAGTGGCAATTTGAGTGCATTAGCTCTTAGACGTGTTCTTTTGTCACTTCTTTTATGAGCTTTTATTCTGATAGCCGCGAACAAAACAGACTTCTAGAAAAAGAAGGATTTTCAACATTTGGAAAAGTTTTGGATCCTTTTAAGACATCAAGAATTTTTGAGTCCTCCTTGCTCGATTTGCTGATTTTTTCGATGGGTAGTAAGATTAACGGAATGTAATCTCCAATGTCTTTTATGTCACATAGTTTCTAGCATTAAAAATTTGATGCTCTGAACTCAAACATCCTCCAAATCATTGTTAATATACAAATCTGTACATTATAACGCTCCAAAGGAATTTTTTTTTGGATTTTGCAAGCCTTTGTTATCACCAATATATGTAGATTCTGCCTAGCAGTGTAAATTTGTTGATTACAAAAAATATTTTCAAAGTTGGATCACAAGATGTTTTATCGGTCTTCCTTTTCCGAAAATTGTTGTTGTGGAACATTCACAGGGAATGTTTTCCAAGAAACTTGCCAACTTCCATTCGTTTCTGGCAATTTATGGTGTTTGTCACTTTCACAGTCGTGCCATTTCAAATTGTTGCAAATAAAATCTCGCTTCGTCGCCACTTCGCTTTTTCCATCATTGTCAAATAATTTTTATAAACTTTCTAGAAAGAAAGGTTCTAAAAACTCCCTTCTTAGCTATCAGATGCTTTGTATAATATAGTTATATGTCTGGGAAGAGTCAAAAACTGTCAGAAGCGGAGCCTGCAACTTTACAATCATCCTTTTTTTCTTTTATAAAAGAAAAAAGGAAGTTTCAAAGATTATTTTGAAGTCCGCTTTTTGGCTATATCAATATGTCTTCAAATGATAGATTAATACTTCTTAAAATATCCTTAAATTTCTTCTATCTGTCCACTGTCTTTTTGCATAATATAGCCAGTATGTGGAAAAAACTTAAAACTGTTGTACTGGTTCTGCCAATTTTCGGCTAAATTTTTCTTCAACAGAGACACAGCAAGTCTGATTATTTTCTTAGGCATTCGATTTTTGGCCGCGAATTTTTCGAATAGAGTTTTGAGCCGTTCCTTTAGCTTTTTTGTTCATTTTAAAGGTATATACGGATAGTTTCCACTGATGTAACACATGCTCTTGGCGGTCAGCAACTCGTTCCCTTTCGTCCTTTCGTCACCACTACTGGAAGGCTAACCACACACAGCATTTATCATACCACACAACTCGTTCTTGTTACTTGTCGACAGCAGCGATTCCCATGAAAAGCGTTGCAATGCCGCTGAATTGCTCTCTTACGCAAAAGTTCGGTTTTTCTGGTAATTTTACATATTTCTGTAGTTTCCAATTTCGGAAATTTCAAATCTTTTCGAAAAAAAACCGAATAAATCTTGTTGGCAATGTGAGATTATTGTAAGTATCAATCCCTAAACAATATTAAAATTTGCTTATTCCATCTTGTACAACCCAAATCCTCCGTAGCTTTATCATTCTACTTTTTGTACTCTAAAATGAATAATATAACCATAAGTTCTTTGTTGGTCCAATAATATTCATTTTTTTTGAAAGCTTTTTACAAATCGTTTCTCGAAATTTACTTTCACCATTTTCCGCATCATTCCCTCTCAACCTCCATTATTTCTCCCTTAGTTCATTATAGTGACTAGTTCTTCAAAAACTCTTCTTCCCTTCCTATTCAATCAATCATAATTATTTGTGACTCAGCGGCAAGTTTTCGACTTCGTGACTGTTCTGGTCGGAGCGAAGACAATTTTTTAACCGGAGATTCTGCTCCCTTACTGAAGCACTGTAGCTTATTATAATCCTAGTTTGGTTCTGAAATTACCTCCGAACTTTTCAAGAAGTAACACATCTCGGAAGACTAAATGCTGAATTCCATTTAGAAACCACTATTGTATAGTATGAGACCTTTTTTGGATCTTTAATGCGCATTTTCAGAATCGTTACTTCTTGCTGTCTTGATGATTTTTGGAATCGTAATTTGCAAGAATTATGATGTGTTCCTGATTATAGCTTGTAACAAAAAATCTGTGCCTACCAAATATGGACATGATTTTAGAAATAATAAAATCGATTTCACAGTTCGTCTTATCTCCTTACGAACCAGAAGTCTTTTTTTCGTCACATTTAGGCAGTGCAGACTTTCCTCGTTTGAGCCCTCAGGGAAATCCAAGCCTAACCGATTTTACTTTTCTCCTTTCAATCCTAACGTCATTCTCTACTCAATTGCCACAATGTGTTGAAAATTACATGACGTCTTTCTGACATAATTTGCTTGGTAGGCTGCTTGAGTTTGCGAAAATTCACATATTTTTCAAAGTAAACGACAACTTTTGGAAAGGTTCTAATAATATCAATCTGAAGCAAGTTTTTTTGTTCCTTATGTCACAGTGAAAAAAAAAGAACTCTCTCTCCATGCCGCTCGAAATTGCAGACAGAGAATTGAGTTAAATTGCATGTAAAATCTCTTGGATTTTACATTTTGGGCTTTTGATTCTGGTCAATCCACAAATTCTCTCACTTTTTCCTTGATGACATCATTTAACGTAATTAGGTGTACTGATAAGCATGATTCTAATCCGATTACGCAAATGATGTCGCTTGCTTACCAGGTATAGCTGTTGTCTACCAAGGTATCGCTCTCGTACCTTTTTATTATCTAAGATTCTTTGAGCATTAGAAGATTCGTAGATAGTGCTATAGTCATCTTGCTACTGAAGTTTTGCAATTTCTCGTGAAAAAAAAATCAAAATTTTTGCGCTAGGTAAGATCTCTTATTTTTCAGTTACTTAGGACTCTTAAAATTCCTCTCAGATTGTAATGATCGTAATTTTTGCTTTGCTAATATTTTGTTTCGCTGCTATTTGTATGATATCGTGGCATATATTTTTATGTTTAGCAAGTATCTCTATTTTATTCACCTACAAAGATCTTTCAATGAATTTCTGAATTCAGAAATTAGACAGGAATTAGGGGTGTTAGATGATATGGCGAAGATAGAATTAGAGCTTCAGCAATTCTTTAATTATTTTGTCAATTTATATTCTGAAGGGTAATCGTTAACTCTAAAATTGTTCGCAAAAACATAGTACAATTCACATTAAAAAAAAAGAAAAAACTTTGTTTGTCTAATAAACCTGAGGATCAAAAAATATCGCATCTTCAAGAAATATTCCTGCCGACAAGATTGAGAAAATTCTATTTTTGCCTAAGGATCCCTTTTTGACGCAGAAGCCCGATTATTTGTACCGTCTGCCTTTTGTATCGCTGCCGACCTTCATCAAAAGCACAAAGCAAACGATCAAAGAATCCATTTCCATGGTAACATGGACCTAGCTTTTGCACCATAGAATAAATCAAAGCTATTCTCAAGGATAAGCAAATTAATTTTTTTGAATTTTCATGCTTCGCGTAAATTGAGTGCCACAACTTTTTTTTCGTTTCTCAAAACTGCTCAAAACTGTTTGTTATAGTGCATTTTTTTACAATTCGTTCGATATGATCGCTCTTCACAGAAGAGAGTTTCGCCGAGTGCAAAACAAGTACAGTCGATAGTGTTCGAGCATTTTTTTTGCTGATTCCCGTTAAAAACTTTCTCTTTTACATTCAGCAAGTCTCTCTCTCTAGTCTGGTTCTTAAATGCTTTTTCAGAGGTTCAAATATGTATGTTCCATAATGAACATATGTTTGTTTAGAAATGAGAAAAATTTCATTTTGCGGATATTTTAAGCAATCAGATACCTTAAATAGAGTAAGTGAATGTACCTAATTTTGTTTACATTTCATATAAAAAAAGATTTAGAAATTGTTGCTCAGTTCATACCATTAGACATCACTCTAAATCTTTTATGGCTTTGTTCAATTGTATCGATGCTTTTATATTTTTTGATGCTCTCACAGGAATATATCCGCCAAAAATGAGAATACGGTGTTTAATTATAAATAAAAGTCCAATAATTATAAAAGTTCAACCCCATAACTTTATAGAATTCGGCAACAAGTCAAATGATAAGCTTCCAAATCTATCATAACGGTTCTAGTTAACATTTTGCTTGCAATAAGGAACCATTGACAATCTTACAAAATCTTACGCTACATATAAATCTTGTTAGATCAATTTTTCGAGGTAATTCTTTCAAAGAATTTTTATCGTTGTGACGTCCCTCTCTCACACAAGTGTTGTTTATTATTGCGTGTAGATAAACCGGTTTCTTTCAGGGACCCGGCTAATCTCGTGAAAATAACCCGCTGCAGTTGGAAAGGGAATATTCTCGACGTAAAGCGGTTTAACCTCGGGACTATCAGGACACAACAAAGGTAATCAAAAATTGTTTGCCACGCTATATATAAATCTCCCATATAAAAATGGTTTTTGCTCTGGTAGATGCGCAAAAAATTTGTTTTGAAAAGTTTTGCAGCAAAAAAGTGCTTTTTGCAGATTATTGTTCTGCAATTTCAGGTTCAGAAATCTACACGAAAGATCATTGATTTTTTCATGACCACGGAAAAATTCGAGCAGTGAATTTTCAGGTAATAACTACCTTACTGTAAAATTTACGAGCTTAACTACCCTATTTCCAGGTTTAATGCAATATCTATTCGTTCCATCGTTCATTTTTCTGCTATTTCGGGCTACTCATGGAATTAAATGTTATTCTGGCTTGAAATACGTTGTAGGCCAGGACGAGTATCAAGATTCAGGTGGGTCTGGTTAGCAGGTTCTGAAAATTTTCGAAAATGGCATATTTTCCACTCCATGATTTTTTGCATGTGCGCATAATCTCTTCTTTTGCATTTTTCTAGTCAATTTCTAAACATGATTACATCTCCTCTGGTCTCCCCAAACTGGAAAATTCTGATTAACCTGAAAAATTGTTCCAAATCAGAACTCGCTCTACTTAGTATTTCATAAACATAATCCTGTTTATCCTTAGACCAAGAATAATAAAAAAATTGAATGGCTACAATAAATAGAGAATTTTTTACCATTTTTTGAAAACAATTATTTTCATCTTTTAATATAATATATAATATTTACTGTGCTTTTGCAGAAGAATGCAATCCAATTCTTGGCATTGGTAATTCCTATTGCTACACTTTCCGGGAGCAATATAGTCTCAATGAAATTGTTAAAATGGGCTGTTCGAATGTGATTTGCAATGTGAGTTTCTCCTTTATAAAGTTGAGTTAAACTCAAATATTCAGTAGCTCAACTAACTACTTTTTTTCAAGATAGGTTGTTTGCGCAAAAATTGAGAAATTCTTTGATGTGGTTGAGGCAAAAAAGCGCTTTGTCCAAACCATTACACCTAGTCCTTGTTTGTCATCCACTTACCGTGAAAAAGTGTAAGCTCTCGCAATGGCCAATCACAAGCGACGTTGGCCAATCAGAGAGCGCCGCCTGCGAGTGGTGCAAAAAACGCCATTTCTTCTAAAACCAAGGGAGAAGGGAGGGTACAAGAGATTAAGAGACCTTTCAAAGGACTTTTGCGAAATTTTTGTTTTTCTCGCGCGACGATGGACAAAATTTATCACCTAGTCATGCATGTTTGTTTAGCCGTTCTCAGTCTGGAATAATTTGTCCGTTCTGAATCATATCCATCTTATCGAGCATCAAAAATGCATAAAAAATATATGTATACACATTTGCTTGATCTCTTGCGGTTTTTCGTTTTTGCTCCGCCCTGCTGCTGACATGGCCAATCACAAACGACGTCGACCAATCAGGGAGCGTCGCCTAAAAGTGCTGCGAAAAGCGCTGTTTTAGACTTTTGAAATTGAGGGCAAAAAGAGGCTACAGAAGATTAGAGGGATTTTTATAGGACTATCGCAAAATTCACGATTCAGCGTTATTTCCCAAATGTCTAATTTTGAGGCTTTTCGCAATACATGCATGAAAACGGACTTTGCTGGCATGACTGGTACCATATGTTGTTGCAACGATCGACATTACTGCAATTCATCATCGCGAAAGACGCGACTCGTCCCATTTATTGTGCCTTTATTGCTATTCTTCGGTGTTTTTGTGCAAATCATGATTTCTGACATATGACGATTCAGTCGGAGCGAGTACTGTAGCTAAATTTAGCTCCGTGAAATGTAGATTTTTCTAGAACGGTCGTAATAATGTACATATTCATGAACATTGCCAATAGTTTAGGCGAGTCGTCGCACGCACAGTCAGGACGCGATTGCAGAGCTGTCTGCGTCTACTTGATCGCGCACTCTCTAACTTCTCTCACCGTCTGGTATCTCTTATAAGCGCGCGACATTTATCTTCATTGGAACCGCTTCCTATCTGCGTACAACTACCCGCCTCTACAAGGTGCTCTGCCCATCAACCCCTAGTGTCAGATACTGGTCAGAATTATCGATCGAAAACGAAATAAAATTTTTAGGTATTGTTTATTATGTACACACAACACGGACAGATCATAACATTGCACAATCATATTAGGAAATACCGTAATCAAGAAAAGCTGCGAGATAACAACTGAAATACAAACTGATACGGACTATATACAGTCTGTCTCAATCGTGGTGTCCCTTTCGCGGGAGGCTACGCCCTTCATCAATAAGGTCAACTTGGCTGCTAGCCGATCTCCCGCGCACGCCACGCGAGGGGTTCGCGAGGCAGATGCGCCACCGCAAATGAGACAGACTGTGGCAAATTTTTTCTGACAAAAAAGCAACAGTGCCGTAGAAGGCCAGATTTCTGTGATACGGTAGCTCACCAAAAGACAAAATTCAGAGCACAAGATATACAAAGTAAGTAAATGAAGTCATCTGTCATCTTATGGTCACGAATATGAAATGAGCAGATTAAGCGAAATACAAAAAATCAAAAAATGCGAAAAAATACAATGAGAGGAGAAAAAGTAAGCATCTATTCAGTATGCAAGATTGTGCTTCAACAGCTTGAAAGGTCATCGATAAGAAATTTTTCGACTTCAGATGGAAATAAAAACTTTTGCGCGAATTATAAAGAGCATTATAGCTTTGAGAAGATTTTTTTGATACGAAAAAGACGTTTTATAAAAATGCGAGAATTGGTCCCCAGTTGCAGAATCGCCTTACGTAAACAAAGATATATAGCCATTATACTGTAGCGTTTCAGACTGTACAGTATATAGCTTTTCGCATTGAAAATTTGTGATGGGGACCAGTTCTCGCCAATAAATCAATAAGTCAGTATGCTGGATCACAACGCAAATAAAATTAGTGTCACTGATAACCAAGTCAAATTCTGGCAGTTAACTTGAGTAAGCAGAATAAAACTCAGAGTGAAAAAAGTAAAGGGACTCAATAGACTAGACTAAGGAATAAGTGAAGATCACAGAAAAGTCACATTGTGTGACTGATCATCTCCTCATCGATGAGATGACGTCACAGCACTGATGATTACCCGACAAAGCTACTCGTCCATCGTCATCTTGGACGAGTTATACCACTTCACTGCGACTTGGTCTAATTCCCGTCGTAGGCGTTAGATCGCTGCTGTTGAAGCTCGTGTCACGAGTGTCGTTGAGAGAGGTTGGTGGCAGCATTGCCTTACGCAAGGACGATTCTGGAATAATCTCAATAATAAGTATGTAATTTTGAAATCTGATAAGTTGCGATTATCATACTGTTGGAACACTATCTTTTAGTGTGTTTCGCGGTGGGATTACGGTAATAGGCAGCGGTGCGTAGCATTACGGTAGTAAGGTTATGTGCATAGATAATAGTTATAATGTAAGTATGTAGGCGTTTCCAGATGAATAGTGAATATTTGCAGGCAAAAGAAAGATCACAGTGGTTAAGAATAGCGTTGTAATCAATCAATAACTGAATTTACTTGGTTACAATTAAAGAATGAAAGTCAGGTAAGGAAACTGGAATTGATTGCTTACCTATGATCATATGCCTAGGATTTTTCAAAAGAACCAAAATTAAGTGATCTTTGATTTGATTGACTTAGCGGCTGGAAGGCGGGGCTTTGTGACCAGATTAAGGGCGCTCGCGCCCGCGACGTAATCTGCGTCTCTCTCGCGCGCGTCTCTCTCGCTCTTTAATCATTATCTAGCCTCAATTAGGTCACGAAGTCCCGCCTTCCGCCGCCAAGCCAGCTGAATCAAAGGGTAGTTCCTCAATTTCTCCTGCGATTCTATTCTAGAACCGTGCATTTATACGGTAGGAATACGGTTAATATTGCAAAAAAATCGATAAAGTGCAAGTAAAGAAATTTTTTTTGATTATCTATAAATCTTTCGAGAGGCAACAGTCTATTCCAATCAGCTGACCAAAACAGGGACAACGTGTTTCGCGCCACGCCGCGCCGCATCTATAACATGTCGTGACAGGAGTATGTCTGCGTCTCCTCATGCAGCTCGATCTCTCGTTCGCGAGCGCGAAGCAGATGCGCTGCGGCAGTCAGAATTTTGGTGCTTTCTGAATGAAACAGAGTGTATATGATTTTTCAACGCCATATTTGCTTTTTTGAGATGAAAAAAAAATGTTTGTTCCAATCCTATAGGTTACATACTAGAACTTAGCAATTTGAAATGGATTTTATGTCTCATTCATTTTAACTCGAGTTAAAATTATTTTAGATTATCTAAATATATGTATATCTCATATGCTGAAATAAACCCGAAGAATTTTACATCTTTTTCCCAACTCAATGGTCTGAAAAACCCCAACAATTATTTTTTGCTTTGGTAAGTGTATTTCTGAGTCAACTGGGAAGCTGTTATTGTAAGAATTAGTAGGACTCGAGAGGAATAAATCACTAGTACAAACAGCACGACATCACTAGTACAAAAAGCTCTAATTTCTCACCGCTAAACAGTGGTAGTAATATGCCATGGGATAGATGTGCCTAAATAAGTGTCGCTACAGAAATGGTAGGATTAGAAGCCAGGTGAGAGCGATAGGAGGTGAAAACATGAATTTTGGGAGACAGAACGGAGAGGGAACAACAGCTTGAAAATTTAGCAGTGATGGTCCAAGGCGATAAAGGAAATTACTATGACTGCGTAATATTATAACTGCCATTATAATAAGAGCTGTAACCTACAAGTGACTTTTGAAAAATTTACAGTTATGGCAAATCCAATCAACTATTGATTGATGCATTTTGCCTCCTACAAATTACTAAACTCTTTCTATTAGCTGAAGTTGAAAAACTATCTGCTTAAACTAATTTCGTCCCCAGTATAATGAATATTTTGCAGACATCGAAGTCAAGAAATTTTGAGACACGTCATGTTTTTGTACGATAGTCATAATTATGCATTGCTCATCAAAATTCCTTTGACATGCAAATTTTAGTCAAAAAGGGGGTGCAAGCTACATTAATTCAATGAATCGGATATATACTATTGTCTTCCTATGAATTCTACTATAGCTTTTTACGGATTTTCACTTTAAGGGAAAGAAAATAAGAAGAAATCTAGGCAGTAGTACTACAAAAGCAATGGTTACTTGAGATTTGAAGATAAAATGAGCATTAATAGAAATAATAATAATACCACAATTAGCAACAAAGATACTTTGATAGTAATTTTGGAAAAAGATGTGAAAACTAATAAATGAAGTATTTTCTAGGTCATGTTAGAAAAAAAAGCAACAAATGAGAAGACAGAAGAAATTTACTCCAAGTATCTTGGATTCAAAGGTAATGAGTATTTGCATTATTTTAGCAATCTTTGTACCAGACCAACCATGAAATTTTTGCCAAATTTCTTGAATTTTTGCAGCATGTAAAATTGATAGGCTTTTTTACTAAGACTACATTGAACAGACACGTACACTGCAGTGGCGGTCCCAAAAATTATAATTATTTAATTATTTGAGGGCGCGCGCCTCTGTACACGGTGCTAGTGGTGGTCCAACGATTTTTTTTTCATATTGGGGGGGGGGGGGGAGGGACATATCTCCAAAGGTTCCTTCAAACTTCCGAGAATTTTCTCAAGCTGTAATCTCCTCTCCAGCGTTTTTTACGAAGTTAATTTAGACTTTTAAAATTTTTTTGAGTTTTTCGATTTTTTATCATAAATACTGGAAATATGTTTAATAGCATATGTTTATGACTCATAGATCCCTGAAATCCCCCTCCCCCCACAACTACCTGATAACTATAAACAACAATAGACTTACTTGTTGGTCTAGCATCTAAACTGGGTGGTTGTGATCGCGGTAGCGGTGTCGGTTGATCGGCGCGGTAAGTGGCAGACAATAGTGGACGAGTTGCCGCGACACCACCATTTCTCTCAAATGTCGTCATTTCCTTTTCGATCGGTTGCTGTCGGCGTCTTCTAAAAATATGCTTAAGATCCTCTAAAAAAATATTAATCAATACTTACAGCATGAAAATCGCAGCTAGTGCTGTGAGAAGAAGAAATAGCAATATTCCAGAGAGTACTCCAAGTATTATGGTAGCGGTACGGTAGCCGGTGTCCACAACGCTCTAAAAAGAAAATTACCAGTGGACGGGGAGGGGAGGGGGAAGGAGGGAGTAAAAAGCTGTGTAAGAAACACTCACAGCATCGTCTGGATTGAGCACTCCTCCCTCTTCATCCTGGCAATAGGTATTTTCCTTGACTCCCCATGGACAATTTTTGCAGTGATCAACCTAAAGGCCGAGTTATTATGGCATACAGTAGGAGTACAGTAAACCATACAGTATGCTTACTTGTCCACCATTGAGAAACTGGCAAACATAGAAAAATCCTGTGATGTTCGATCGACATGCGGCTACACTTGGACTGATCGTTGAAGGGGTGCAAGTGAGATCGCAGTTGGGACCGATTAGGGAACCCGTGCAGGAAATGGAGTAGGAAAGATAAAGTCTAAAAATATTGAGCAAAATGAATAGTTACTACTTTTTATGACAAGTTATTGATTTTTTACTAGGTCATTCCGAAAATTCTTTTCTTCTTCATCAAAATAGAGAAGACTGCGAAAATTCAAAAAATCAAGGTTCAAATTTCGCGCGCGAGAAAGCTCCACCCCCATCGTTTTGCCATTGGTCGTTGCAAGTCTTGACACGATAAAGGGCGCACGAGTGGCTCTGCTTGCATTTTGCAGTATTGCCGCCTTCCGCTTGCTCCCTCCTCCCCATCCCATTCCCCGCTCTCCCGAAAAGTAAAAGGACTTACGTGGTCCCAATGAGTTTTCCTTGGTACGCATAGCGCTGCGACATACTTTGAACACCACCAACAGCTGGAAGAGTGTCCGAGAGCGGAACAACGAAAGTATCCGCATGGGTTAGGGTATCCACAGCTACCAGGGCACCATCAGCTTGGTTGATTACTGGGCCGAGGTGATGAGCAAAAATGTCGATGGCGGACTAGAAATATCATTTGAAGATAAACTCCAGCTAATGAACGAGTTGAAAATTGAAATTTCTAATTTTTGAAGGAAGAAAATGTCTTACCGGTTTACTCGGTAGCTGAACAACATAATTTTGATCCCAGCTACTTTGTTGAGAAGTTGGAAGCTGACCATTTGCATCCAGGGTAATAAATTCAGTAGCCAGATGTCGTACGGATGTGCTAAAATTGTAAATTCAGAGATAAATATCATATTATGAAATTTTGATGGGTTGTTCTTGAAAACTTACAGACCAAAAGACCTCATTTTTTAGGAAAAAAGTTTTGTAAATAGCTAGAAAAACAAAGACAATTCAAAGACTTTAATTCAACTGGCTTAGCGGCTGAAAGGTGGGACTTCGTGACCTAGTTAAGGCTAGGTAATGATCAGAGAGCACGGGAGCGAGAGAGTCGCAGACTGCGTCGCGGGAGCGAGCGGCCTCAATACGTCGCAAAGTCCCGCCTTTAAGCCGCCAAGCCAGTTAAATCAAAGATTGTTTGATACATGATTGTTAATCTTGAAACATTTCTAAAAATTAGAATATGAAAAAAAATCAAACAACATTTTCTCCATCTTCCTGTGAAGTTGTTTACAACAAAAATAAATCAAAAATAAGACAACTTAAAGAATCATATTTAGTTTTCAACCTCAAAAACTAATCACAAAGGCAGAAACAAGAAGAATAAAACTCTGGAAACTGGGCGCTCACAGACAGCAGACCATATATGTACTTTTCTAGATGAATGAGTTTTCAGTAGAAAACTTGTTGAGCAAAACTCGATTCTATTTTCTATTGAATACATACATATAATATGATTTCACATATAAAAAAGTGCCTTTTCTCACATACTCTTGCTGAAAACACACTTTGAAACGGGAACATTCATGATGACTGGGATGATTATGAACATACTGAAACGGAAAATCTAATGATAAATAAGATTTGTAAGAAGTTTTTGGGCATATGATGAAACGGGGAATGTTTATAAATTACAATATTATTTCAACAATTTTTCGGTTTTCATGTAAATTCGATGATTTTAAACAAATCAATTTTTGAAAAGGAAATTTTTATGATTACAACAACCTTCAGAACATAACGTGGAATGGAAATTTTTGTGTTATCTACGATATTTTTGAACATATTTGGTCATTACGATGTTTTTTTTCAACAGATCTCGAAACAGGTTTTCATGGTAATAACGATGATTTTGGGCAAAATTTTTGAAACGCGAATTTTTATAACGATGACGATGTTCAAAGCATACCCTAAAACGGAAATTTCTATGTTAATTACGATGTTTCCGATATATTAGGTCATTCCGAAAGTAATTTCGCTTTTTTCAAACGGGTGCCACATCTGATGGAACAAAGGTTTCTAAAAGATCTTGGTAGCATTTGATGCAGCATTTCATTCTCTTTCTAAAGGTTATGAAATTGTTGCAAAACAGTCAATGAGCTTTCAGAAAATAACCAAAATCTGCGACCCATGCTTTTTGAGATGGTCAAGTTTCACGATTTTTCAAACCTTTCATATCAATCCTCAAAAGGAGTTCAAGGAATGATTTGATAGAGTAAAGCTCATGGAATACAGTGCTACTTTTATCCCTTTCTCGTAGGTCGCCGTAATTTTTTAAAAGATTTTTTAGCAGAACCATCGAACTTTGGCGAGCCCACTTCAACCACAATCGCATCAAACATCATAATTTTTTGGAATTTGAGAATACCAAGATGGTACTATGAGTTAGCATTAATTTTACAAAGCAAGTGAGCGTTTACGGGTTCGAAATATCAAATTTCGAGTTTTTCGGGTACAGTCTGGGGCTCCCTAAAAAAAACGAGTTATGATGATTATATCCCCGGAAACTAAACGAATCGGAAACAAAAAATACCCATCAGAAAGAGGAGAAAAAGCTGCATCGAATAATGCGCGAGCTGCTCTTCTTTTGATGTTCTACTAAGATTTAGCTGTCCAAGTATGGAAATCGGTAGCATCAGTTAAAATTCTATTAAAAATGTATGACAAGCTATGAAAAAGAGAAAAATGTTGCACTGTATTCCATGAGGTTTGCTCTATCGAACCGTCACTTGGACTTCTTCTGAGAATTGATATGAAAGTTTTAAAAAATTGTGAAACTTGACTATCTCAAAAAGCATAGGTCGCAGATTTTGGTTATTTTCTGAAAGCGCATTGACTGTTTTGCAACAATTTCATAACCATTAGAAAGACAATGAAATGCTGCATCGAACGCTACCAAGATCTCTTAAGAACCTTTGTTCCATCAGATGTGGCACCCGTTTGAAAAAAGCGAAATTACTTTCGGAATGACCTAATATTTTGTGGTTGCGATGTTTTTTTGACAAGTTTTTACGATAAGTACGATTTTTGGGCAAACTTTGTAACGGGAATTTCTATGTCGGAAATGACGTTAAAAAAAAACTGGGTAAGTTTCTACATTATTTGCCATATTTTCCAACTCGTTTTGTGATTATAATGTGTTTTTTAATTCCAAAGCGAGAATTTCTGTGACACTGGCGACATTCAGAACATACTTCGAAAAGGGAAATTTCGTTTTACTTCATATTTTCACAAAACATTTTTTGAAACGGGAACTTTTACATTTCTTCGATGCTTTACACGAAAACAAAGAAAAAGCTATAAAAATTAAATAGCTTATTTATATGATCCTCTATTTTTTAAGCATACTGTAAAACTCACTCAGGTGCAGAGATGATGAATGTGAATCCAAAATAACAAGCGGGAGGGCGATTCAGATAATTGCAAGTGTGTCCAGGAGGACAAACACATGTCCAGCCATTTGGTAGAATCGACTGGGGATTGGAATATCCCCGGAGTTGGAATTGAATAGTAACTCCATTGTTTGTCTCCGCGTTGTTCTGAAAAAAAAATCAATATTTTCCCTCGGACCTCCAGAAAGTTGAAAAAATTTTGTCACTTACACTGGAAGTTATGTTGTATGGAGTAAGAACTTGTCTCACTACACTTCTAGCCATTCCTTCCGGGGACCACGAGGGGCTCTGACCGTTTTGACCATTTTCTCCAACGCCATTGTAAATATATTGAGCATTAGTCATTAAGACTAGACAAAGTAATCGCAAAATCATCCGTACTGAAAAATACTAGAAGGGGTCGCTCTGAAAGAGAAAAAAATTACAAGCAGAATTTTGGAAAAAATTGGGCGGGAGAATACGAGAAAAAAAAGACAGAAAAGTATTTTAAAAAAGCTGAAAGGGCGTGAAGATATCGCTAAAGAGATGAAAAGATAAAACCTGATAACTGAATAAAATGTTGGAGGTTTCTTATTCCTTTTTTTGATTTCATCATAAGAAAAAATTTGAGATGCCAAAATGTAGCTGAAACCCCCTTTTTATCCTAAACGAATGTGGTTTGAAAGAGAAATATTGCGAAAATTAGCAAAAATCTGCAATAAAAAATGCGAGATGAATTACAAAGGTATTTCAATTAATAAAATGATAATAAGATTAATCAGCAGTGACGAGATTCCAAAAAACAGATCTGTCTAAAATAAAGAGATTTTTTTTACTTAATACATCAAATTTTGAGAGAAAATAGTTGCAAAATAACAACATTTGTATGATCCACAGAGGATTAGATGTGAGAAATTGAGTAAATTTTCTTTTACAAGCAATTGCAGTGAAGAAAAAATTTTGTTTTATAAGGCAATAGCTCAAAAGAGCTAAAAATTCCGTGGAAAAATTTCAAACTAGTAAAAAAATCATTTTTTTCTACCATGAACCTGTAAAAAGTATTAGCTCAATAAAGATTAGGAAACAGCAAATCTTGTAAAAAGCTCGAGAAACTGTGTGATAAAGCGGCCAAATGATATGCAGAAAATACTTCCTTTGAAATTCCTTGATTTATTTCTTATTACGACGAATGATATTTTGCACAGAATGAAAATACAAATGCAAATTCGATTGCACTCGACCGAATTCGCATCGCATTAGTACACAAAAAAAGCAACGATAGTCTCTCTGTAAATAGTAACGAAAATGGCCAGCCACGTCTAGCGCAAGAATCGATCACACTTTATTGCTAAATGTGGAAAATTCGCAATATGCAATATGTGGCTGAGTCATCCGGTGCGAAAGGCTGAAGCACGACTGATAAGGAGCCTTTATCAGCCAAAAACAGAACAATCAATAGACAATGAGTCAAGAGTATGGGAGGGGCGGAGCTGAAACAGGGGGAGATGGTGAGGGGAGGAATGAAAAATTTGAAAACATACCGAAAACTGAGGAAACGTGGAAATTATGTAAAAATCACTTGCAGGAGGGAATCAGAGTTTGAGGTCTGGTAGAATGAATCAAGAAGTTGAAACTATGGTACAGTTGCTCTCCCGCCCCGCCCCCTCCCTCGCTCGTATTCTTTCAGTCCCAAGTAAATAAAAACCATGCAGTTGACAACAAATCTATTTCAAGTTGATTACCTATGATTCATCGGAATTAATAAGGGCTAGTTTTTTTATAGATAAAACCTGCCATGTGGACCTGTTCTCGTCAGGAAAATTAACAGTTAGAAATGCTAAATCATAGCTTACAAGACAAATCTGAAAGGCAACTATCATATCTCACGGTACACAATATACTAAGATGTAAGATCCGTTTTTATCGAACAATGTTATGGGGACCAGTTCTCGTCACTTTCAAATCAATATAAAATTAGTGTTTGTGCATAGAAACTAAACACAAACTCACTACAATTTATTCACTAAGTGCTAAGTTTTACTAAGATTCTGAAAATAGACTTTGTCCTTAGCAGTCTGTTCTAGAGACCAGTTCTCGCCATCAAGATTAATAAATCGATTTGTGGAATCTAAAAGCATAGGAGAACTTTGTGAGTTGCAACACAAATTTTGGCAGTCTACGAGTTCGAAGACGAACTAATGTAGAAAATTACTCAAGAATGAGTTGCTGGAAATTACCTACGGGGGGGGGGGGAGAGATTAGCTCACTATGACAGCTGTGAATTCCTTCGAAAATTTTATCGTTATTTCAAATTGCTCAAGAAAATTGACCACTATGTACAGAATTATTAGCCATTTGCGTTTATTACAGCTAGAAAATGACGCAAGTTAAGAGAATCACCAGGTTGTGAAGGAAATCTTTATTTGTGCGTAAGATTGTTTGTACTGCAGCACGAAACACCTGCCATTTGCTGCGGACAGGTAATAAAAATAGTATGATTGATAGAAATAAAGAAAAAAATCATTCCTTGAAAGGTGAAGCATGAGATTTCGCAAAAATGCACAAATAAAAAAGTAAGTAAACAACACGAAGAATTTCGCAAATGCTGGCTGATAACCGGTTACGGGAGCATCGATTTCGTCTAACGAAGACAAATGAGCAAATACAGACGGCAAGGGGGGGCATGTGAAAAGACACCCCCTCGGCCTCAACGACTCGGCTCGGCTACAAAACATGACTGATCGTAAACAAAAGATTGCTCCGTGACCGAGTGTCGCGTTTAGCTCGCCGGGGCTTGCGTACATTAGCGTAAGTGAGACGAAAAAGTGTCTTTAAAGCCACTTTTTGGGAGGGGGGGGGGGTAAATGGAGGAGAGGAGGGGCGGGGAGAGATAGTATACAATTCGTGCTGGAGTGTTTAGCAAAATGAATCGATCTGGGCTAAATTCTTGAATTGCAACAATTAAAACAATTTATCTTTATACAATAACTATTTTTCTGCAGGGTCTTGAAATGATAAAAGCTATATAAATGAGTTACTAAAACTAAAAAAATTCAAAAATAAAAAAATAAGAGATCGCAAATAGATTTTCAGATCTATTCCGCTCAATCGTGGCATAAAGCAGTGGCGTTCGCAAGATTTTCGTCCGGCGGGGGGGGGGGGGGGGGAGGAAAGGGACAAAAAATCTTTTTGAATACTCCGAAAAAATTTTTGGGGCGCTTCTCAAAATTTTTTTGGGTCCATACCCTCGAGTAATTCGAATCTTTGAAAAACTTGAAAAATTATTTCAATTACCTATTTAAAAGAGTAAAGAAGTCACTTGCACCTTTTTATAACGCATGTAAGTAAATTCCAAAAATTTTATGACCCACCCTGGTGAGGAGGAGGGGGAGGGGGGGGGGTACTGGTATGAGATATATTTGAATGACAAGCTGTACAGCACAGCAAGACTAAAATCAAAAAGATAAGAAACAAAACAAATTCTATTTCTGAAAAGTTCCAGATTTCTTTACCATTAATGGGCTTATTAGCAACAGCAATACAAGAGCAATAAAATCCATTTTTGCTGAGAAAAAATTTGAGTACAGAAAGTTCACTCTCCTATCAAATATGTTCAAATATGTAAGTATTTATAATAAAGGTTATAACCTATACTTCAACCGGCTTGGCGGTTGAAAGGAGGGGCTCTGCGGCCTAATTGAGACCGCTCGCGCCCGCGACGCAGTCGGCGTCTCTCTCGCGCGCATGCTCTCTGATCACTATCTAGCCTCAACTAGGTCACAAGCCCCGCCTTCCAGCCGCCAAGCCGGTTGAATCAAAGGTCACTATCTCTAACATGAAGAACGCCTTCAATTGAGGGCAGATGGAAGAAGAATAAAATGATGCTAGATGGAGTACAGCGGGAGGGCGGGAAGGGTAAGAATTGTGAAATTACCATGAGCCAATGCGATACCTGTATATTAACTTATTAGGTCCCATTTGCCACCAAAAAACAAAACCCTCCTTAGAAAATCAAACGGGGTGGGGGGGGGGGGGGGAATGGCAGCGAGAGCAGGAGGAGTGCAGCGTCATAGATGTTATTCACTAGACATAGGAGTTAATCTTCGATTGTGCAAATATTCATTCTGGTAGTAAGGGGGTAGGCAAATACACATTTTGTAGCTAGTCATGACATTTCACATGTCAAGCATGTATTTGTTGAAATATACGTGGTCAAAAATTATTCGCCGAGGACTAGTAGCTTGACAAATGGTTGACAATTTTAGTAACGCTGAAGTTAAAAAATGTAAATTATAGCCTGTCCTCGGAAGTCCGCTGAAATATGGCGCTAAAAAATTGAATCAGGGAGTGAAGTGCTAGAAAAACCATTTGTAAGTTCTCAATGTTATAGATTAATCAAAAAAGGTTGCTATGAGCTTTTGTACGAAGACCAGTATTTGTAGCTATCAAAGAGTTCAGGCATTTTGGGAAGAGGATTTTTACACAATTTTATTTTTGAAAATTTCAGTCAACTCTGGCCTAAAGCTCATATAAGTTATTAATTGCAAAAAAATTTTCAATTTAAAACTTTTGGCCAGACATATTTCAAGGAACTGTTTGGCCCGTCTAAAAAGTATACGGTTTGGGCGAGAGAGGTCCAGTTTCTCGGCTGGTAATGAACATATGAGTTGCCGCCTGAGTAAGCGCAAATAAAGACTCCTAATTAATTTCCCACATGGGAATTCATAATCCAGATTGCCCGGGCTCCGCCTTGGATGGCAGACCTGAGGCAAATACAGGGTGTCTCAAAAAATGTGCAAACTGTTTGGTTGTAAATAACTCTTTTATGGTGAACTTCGAGAAGCTTTAGGTACCACTTTGTAGGGCGAGGTTCAACTTAGATTTACAGTGTAGAGCGAATCGCCGATCGCTCATTCTTACTGTAGGAGTACGGTAGAAATTTCAAACATATGGTGTCCCTGTGAAAAAAGCGGCCGTTTGAAAAATTTTCAAAAAAATGTGGAAATTTGTGTAATAGGATTTTATGGACCCTGATTCAATATCCAACTCTTTACGAGGTTGAGAAGCTTTTTATAAGGTGTAACCGCACTTTTTAGGAACACTTAAAAAACGTCTGCTACTACTTAGCTCGCATAATTTTTTAATGAAGCATTACGAAGCGTTGCGAACTTCACATTTAGAATCAATAACTCTAGTTAACCTAGTGTGAGAGTTTTCAGGTTGTATTGGTTTCTTTTTGGAACAAAATATGGCCTTCCATGGCTCAAAACCCTCTTCAAAGTTTCTACCGTACTACAGTAAGAATGAGAGATCGGCGATCCGCTCTGCACTGTAAATCTAAGTTGAACCTCGCTCTACAAAATGGTACCTAAAGCTTCTCGAAACGCTTCACCACAAAAGAGTTATTTACAATCAAACAGTGTGCAC